GTGGGACTCCTGCTCTACCCTCTCCTGGTGCGGCCGTGACTCCTCCTCTACTCTCTCTTGCTGGGTCTGTAAATGGACCTGCTGCTGCGGGTGGGACTCCTGCTCGACCCTCTCCTGGTGTGGCCGTGACTCCTCCTCTACTCTCTCCTGCTGCGGTTGCGGCTGCACCCGCTGCTGCAACCTGGACTCCTGCACTACCCTCTCATGCTGCTGCTGTGACTCCTCCTCTACTCTCTTTTGCTGTTGTAGCTGCTGCTGCTGTGCCCTCTCAAACCACTCACGCTCCTCCCTTTCCAACTGGAGGAGACGCTGCTCACGGGTTAGGAAACGTACAGTGCGCGGTGTAGGCTCCACAGTGCCAGTGCCTCCAGCTCCAGCACCCCTAGAACCAACATTTCCACCAGCGCCACCCCTGGGGCCTCCAGTACCTCCTGTAGGAACACCCCCAGGCTCCGCAGCAACCGGCCGTAAAGGAGAACGAGGAGGGAACTGCGGGACCGCTAGGAAGCCAGGGGGTGATGCGGGGCGAGGCCACCGACTTGAGGCTGCCGTGTCCTCCACGAGAGTGACCTCCACGCCCACACCCACTACACCCCCAGAACCAACACCACCAGCTCCTCCAGCCCCAGCACCCTCACCCTCCGCAACTGCACCTCCCGCACCCCCAGACACGACAGGGACTGGACGCTGCGGGGGGGGACGAATGCGGAGTGACGTGTGACACACGTGACAGGGCAGGACGCAAAGCAGGGGGGGGCTACCGGGGCGACTAGGGGGGGGGGGGCTCAAGGGTAAGGAATAGCGGGGGGGAAAAGACCTCAGTACCTCGGTGGGGGCGACTCCTGTAGTAACATACAGACTCGTCGAACGTGAAGTCCTGAGAAGCGAAGAACTCGCGGGTGACTGGGTCGTAGAACACCCAGCTCGAGGTGTCCAAAGGGAAGCCAAGAAAGACGCACGCACGAGTGCGCGGAGACAACTTGTTCGCGGCAGGGGCACGAACGTGAGCCAGACAACCCCAGATGCAAAAGTCAGCTACTACGCCCGGAAAACATGACCACAGGGAGACCGGCCTCACCCGTGGCTGTGCGTCACTGGGCCACAAGTTCAGCTGGTGCGCTGCGTAGCGGACTGCCTGAGGCCACAAGAACTGAGGGGCACCGGCATGGCACATGGAGGTCCGGGCAACCTCCATGACCAGGCCGATGTGTCGCTTGGCTACCCTGTTCTGCTGCGGCAAGGCTGGTAGTGTGTAAAACTGAATGACTCTCCGACCCTGACAGAACGTCTCTAGGCGAGTGGAGAAAAACTCACCACTACGGTCTGAGTGTAGGCGAAGCCCACACAAGCCATGGGCGCCATCCCACGCTAGTAGCCACGGCTCGAGGACGGTAGGCACGTCGGCCTTCCGTCGCAAGGGGAAAACCGTGGTGTAGCGGGAATAGTCGTCCACCACAATCAGGAAGTAGCGCTCCTGACGTGGGCCAAGGATAGGAGAGGTGCCCCAAACGTCCAAGTGTAGGGTCTGGAAGGGAACCGTGGTGGGGGGGGGGGGGGGGGGGGGGGGGGGGGGAGCGCTGCCGACCCTCGATGCAAGGAGTGCACGGTGGCGCAGTCGAGCAAGGAAGCGGGGCAAGCGACAATGGGAGACCTGAGACCAGACGGTGACATACCATCTTACTGAGACGTGGGAAGGACGGGTGACCGAGACGGTGGTGCCAGAGGACCGATCAGTGGGTGCGTGACCGACAGTCGCACGACAGATCAGCAACCTAGCCTGGCCCAGTGTGGTGGGACCCAGTGTGTAGTGAGTACAAACCAGAGCCCAACTCTCTGTGGAAAGTGGCCAGAGGCGCCCCAGTGGCACCTACTGTGCAGGAGGCAACAGGCTCGTCCAGTGGAAAAGTAGTGACTACACCTAGGTCGTGGAGGTGACTGACACCCACGAGATTCCTGGAGAACGAAGGGGTGTAGTAACATGTGAGAGACCCAGAGGGACTCGCTGGACACGTAAGACTGCTGGTGTTGAGGGCAACAACAAGTCCCACGCTGGGGTCAGCTAAGGCGACAGTGACTGGAGTGCGCAGTGGTGTGAGGTCAGTACAATCGCGAAAGAAACAGCTAGACGCTCTAGAGTCTAAGGTGAAGGAAAGATGTGCAATCTGTGAGGTCGCACCCGAGCCAGCGACTTAGGTTGGTGCTAGACTGGTGGTAGCTGCAGCTCCTACACAAAGACGCTCAGAGACTCATGGATTGGAAACAACACACGCACTAAGACTGGAAACACAGGTCTTTACTCGTGCAGCCGGGAAAGGTCCTAGACCAGGTAGGTGAGACTCAACTGGTGCAGCAGTGCGCTGGCGAAGACGCGAGGGCTAGTGCGGTGTAATAGTGTGAGGACCAAGACGCTCACAGTGGAGGTCGTCGAGTCGACAGTAGCAGCTGGACGCAGTGTAGTAAGGACTCGAGTAGGTAGTGCCAGTACTAGGGCCTGTCAGGGCCCGGTACCCGCATGGGGCCGACGTTTTGCCCACTGCTTGCTGAGCCAGTGCTGGGGGCGCCACACTTTGGACCCGCAGGCCCCCACTGCCGGGAGTGCTGCGGCTGGCCGTGCTGCTGTAGAACCCTAGTACACGCCATGTGAGCCTATGCTGCTGCTGGTTCTGCTGGGGGCAGCCTAAGCTGCTGCTGGTGCGTTGGCGGCAGCCTAAATTGCTACTGGTGTGCTGGGGGCAGCCTATGCTGCAGCCTAAGCTGCTGCTGGTTCTGCTGGGGGCAGCCGAAGCTGCTGCTGGTTCTGCTGGTGGCAGCCTAAGCTGCTGCTAGTGCGCCGGGGGCAGCCTATGCTGCTACTGGTTAACCTGGCGGTAGTCTAGGCTGCTGCCAGTGCGCTGGCAACAGTGGAAGCTGCTGCTGGTGCTACTGGCGGCAGTATAATCTGTTGGTGCTACTGGCGGCGGGTGTGGCAGCTCGTGGGGAGGCGGGTGTCAGGTGGGGTGGTTGTTCTGTGCGGTTCTGTGCGGTTCTGCACGATTTTGCACAGTTCTGTGCGGTTTTTTGCGGTTGAGATCACTGGGCGGGGCGGCTGATTCCGGGTGACTGGAACGGGTGGGGCAGCAGGTTTCCAGGTGGGGCGGCGGTTTGCAGGTCTGGGGCGGCGGTTTTCAGGTCTCGGGTGGCGGGTTTCCAGGTTGGGCGGCGGTTTTCAGGTCTGGGACGGCAGGTTCAAGTCTTGGGCGGAGGTTTCCAGACTGGGCGGCGGGTAAGGCAGCGGGTGGGGCCGCGTCTAACAGGTGAGGCGGCGGTTACGACGGCGGGAAACGGGTGGGGCGACGGGTCGCTCGTGCGCGCGGCTGCTGTAGTGCGTACGTGCGACTAACGACGGGGCCGCGGGGCTTGCTAACGAAGGAACCTTGGGGCCCACGAACGAAAGGCCGCGGGGCCCGCTAACAAAAGGCCACGGGGCCCGCTAACGAAAGGCCGCAATGGGTGACGGATGAAGGAAAATTGAACCGCGATTTACGGGGGGGAAACGGGCGACGGGCGGGCGACGGGGGGGGGGGGGTCTATGGGCGACGGGGCCTAAGGTAAGCATGCTACGGGCGGTCTAGGATGGGGCGCGACTAGGTGGGCCCATAACTTAGTCGAGTGATTTTTCCTAAGGGGAAAATCTCGCTAGGGTTAACATAGCTCTATACCATGTCAAAATGTAAAAGTTAACGATGGAATGAAACATACAGCAAGATATATCTACGGTAGTGAACCCTAACATAACCCTAGGTCAAGAATGTACACCTAGACTAACAAATATAAGCTATAACAAATATAGCTTGACAAGATGTCCACTCTTTCATCTTTTGTGCTTCGTTCCAGCTGTGAGGCCGAGATCTACGTTGGGGTTATGGCTGTACAGGAGTTATGCCGGCTGACCTACCTGCTAACCGACTTGGGTGCGCAGCCTCGTTCTCCTCCAATTCTGTATGTTGACAACAACGTCATGATTGCCTTGTGTCGGGAGCAGAGACTGAAGTACAGAACGAAGCACATTGCTCTTCATTACTTTCTTGCTCGAGAGTTGCATCTGCGTGGTCAGCTTTGCCTTGCATACGTGGCCTCTCAAGCCAACACTTCTGATATCTTCACCAAGGCCCTTGGGTCCAGTGATCATCAGCGTTTTTGCACCGCTCTAGGCCTTATGCCTACTCTGCCTCACCTGTTGGTTGCTTGACTCTGCCTTGTACAGTGATCTTTATATATATACTTGCTAGGTTGCTCTTGCTAGGTTGTGATCACTGTTCTGCTAGTGTTTTTATAACTCTGCATGTGAACTGGCCTTGTGGCCGCTTGCTTATGCTCAGACTGCGTGGTGATCTTGAGATCCACTATGAGCTTTGCTTTGCTTTGTTCTCTTGCTTGACTGGTCTTGTGACCGTTGGTTGTTCTTGATATCCCCCACTTTGCCTCTGGGGGTGTGTCAAGCTGTGTTTGTATGTCTGTAAGCTATTGGGGGATAGACTCTACTGAGTACAACACTTTAGGGTTAGACCTAGTACTCGTACTCATCTCTCATCTTAGTCCATCATTCTTGCACTTTAGTTTTGACACATTGCACTATAGGTTGACCTGAATCGCTCGTCTCTTCCCCGCACCACAACGGGTGGATAAGTACCAAGTCAAAGTCGAGGGGCTGAGGTTAGCACGCACAAGGTGCATCCGAAATGATGGCGCTGAGTTGTGACAATGCACAGTTCCCCGGAAAACAAAGAGGGCGTTACAACAACCCTGATGTTGAGTTCTGGACCCTGAACAATCGGAGTTCAGTATTTCCCATCACTGAGCAATTAGGGTGCCGTTTTCTGGAACATGTGCCTTCAGAGTAGAATTTTTTTAATTCTAGGTGGAAATCAGGGCGCCTAAATATGAAACGTCAGCCCTGCACCCACCCCAGAAGGCACCTGTCACACGCGTCACACAAATCACCCTGTCTTGGTGCAGGAGCACTAGTAGCTCATGGGGTTGCTGGCACTCGCACAGTTGCAATCACACTTCATCTTCACACTGCCTCCAGTGGGGGGAGGTGGGGGTGGAGGGGAAGGGGGAGAGGGAGTGCCTCCCCCACCGCTACTGTCAGTGGGCAGGGCGTTCTGCAGGATGCACTTGCTTCTCACGCGGTCCCAGTTGAGCTGCACGAGGAACTTCATCCCGTTCAACCCCACCAGATTGTACTCGTAGCTCTGCCCGTTCTGCAGCGATCCCCGCTTGGTGCTGCCGTAGTCACACGAGCACTTGTCCGCATTCTCCTCGTTGTTGTCGTCAAACCACCCCGCATTCGTATCTGGATCAGTGGCAGCTTCGGTGAGCTCATGTGTGAGCGTGGAGATCGTGGCGTCGATGGCAGGCTTGCCGTTGGGTGACGTGCTCTCCACCCCGCATGCGTCGGGGCACTGCCCGTGGTGCCCCACAAATTCTTAGCACAGCAGCGTGGAGTTGAGCGAGTCCTGCGTGTGCCACCCACAGTACTCGGAGCAGAAGCCCCCTAGAGTGACGTCGGCGCTGGTGAGCACCACGTACAGGCCCTGTGGGTCCAGCGCCAATGGCTTGCCCGCCCCCACCTTGCTCTTCACAACTGCACGGGCAGCAGCAGGGGGGTGGTTGGCGGCACGGGGATGAGAGGACAGAGAGGAGGGTGAGACAGCGCGCATGCATGTAGTTGAGCGTGCGTTTGCGCAGGTGAGGGGTGAGAGGTGATTATGAACAGGACTAAAACCAACACATGTAAGGTGCACTTGGAATAAACAGCACACACAGGGGTGGGGGGGTGGGTGAGTGGTGAGGGGAATCAATTGACACATGTAGGTTGAAGGGCGGCACGTACTGGTGAGCACGTCGCTGTCTGACAGCTGCTTGCCACGTGAATAGTTGTCGTTTACAGTCCCCACCAGGCAAACCTGCCTCAGGAGCACATGGTAGCAAGAGGGTGTGCAAGCGGAATTAATGAGGGTGAAGATGAAGGGCCGATACGAGGTGCAGCACGAGCAATGGCACGAGGAGCAGCAAGAGCAATGGCAAATGGAGTGATTAGTTCGCTGTCGGGTCCTGAGCCATCCTTTTCACTTCGATACTTTTGCCATGCAGTTAACTCATCTCAAAAAAGTCGACCTTAAGAATGGCAATTTAAAGCCATAATCGCCCTCTGTATGGCAGGTTTATGGCCCGAAACTGGCGGGCTGTATACAGGCAGGTTCGTAGGCATTTAGGGTCCGTAAATTCCCCGCCTGTGTATCGCGCGGAATGGTTGTTTACGCCAATATTCAGGTACACCTCAATGCTTGTTCATGGCTGTATATGGCATGCAAATGTCTAGAAACTGGCCCACAGTTTATCGATTGTTAAAGGCGTGCAATAATTGCCTGCTTATTGGAGGCACAAAAATCCCTATTAATTGCCATGCCATTATTCAAGTCTGTCATAAATGGTGTTACATTGGCCCAAACTATACTGTCATGGACAGGTTGATTATCCTTATGTAAGGAGACAAAATTTATTCGCATACCTATTCATTTACCACCCATCCAGTAAACAGTACCCGAATTAATCGTTATATTTCTCATAAAACAGTTACATTAGAAGGCACACATAGAGTCAGAACGCTACCTATCCTACAGAGCAACCTTGCGGTAGCCCTACACAAGTCCTTCAAATGCAAACTCAAATCCTTCGATGAGGATTTTCACAGCTCCACTGCCCATAACAAAACCTGCAGGAGCTTCATCAGAGTAAACAGCTTCGCGTGCTTCGAGCCGGGCCTTGATCCAAGAGATGACAACAAGAACCTTTGCAGCCACGGCGGCCCTGTTATTCTCATCAGAGGCATCCAGGGAGGGGTTGGCACGGCCATTGTGGTTTGCCATAGGCCACTCCACCTGCAGGAAACCACAAAGGCATGAGTGCATATCTAATATGTATTGAAAAAATAATGACCAACAGGAAAAGAAAAACGACTTACCACATGGCAAATTGTTGCCACAGCAGGGATCTTGACGTTGAAGCGGTTGCAGCGCTTGCCGCCAAGTCCTTTGCAGATGGCGAGCTCGAACGGTCGGCTGGCAAAAGGGCGGCCAGATCCGTCACAGTGCCAATTCGAACCATACACAGCTGCCAGGATTAAACGGGACGGGAGTTTTAGACTGTAGGGGTGTTGTTGCTAGTAAGCGCTACAAAAAAAAAAAACTCACCATCCCCAAAGTGGGCGTGCCACTCTGCAGGCGTGCGGCGACGCGATGGCGCAATGTTCTCGCTCGCAAGCATCGCGACTTTGTTCTCGGTGATATAGCCACCAGGGCCATGCGCGTAAGGCTTAACCACCGCGTAGATGTTGCAACGGCGCTCCGACATCTTCTGCAGCATGATGCGCTCGCGCTCGGGATTCTCCGCCATCACCCGGTTGAACATGTCAAGTGGCACCCCGACGTCCTCGTACAGCTCCTGCACTTTGCGCCTAAGCTGTGCCAGGGAGGGGTAGAATGACTGCTCTCTCGCTGGAGCTCCCGCTATGAAGTAGTTGACCGCGTCGTTGCACTTTTGCTGCACATAACGACGACAACGAAGAATAGGCATTTGTTAGAATTAAAAACGAGTCAGTCAGTCAACGAAAGATACAAAGTCAACAGTACGAACTTTAAAAAACCCAGCACACTAACCTTGAAAAATGATAGGTCCAGGAGCACAGGGGGGATTGCCGCACCCTCCTGCACAACTGGAGCCGTCGATGGCCCAGGCGCGTTGGTGGTCGAGGGCGGGCTGCTGCGCTGCGCAGTTGCGTGCAGCAAACCAGCGCCAGCTCCGGTACTCCGGCTGTTGGAAGATGATGGGCCGGGGCTACCTCCCGTTGCTGGGGCAGGCGGCTGGCGGGCAGCAACGACTGCTCGCATTCGTGCAGCCTCCTGTTCCTGTTCTTCCAGCTGCTGACGGAGGGCCGCGAGTGTGTCGGCCTGTTGCGCAATCGTCCGCTCCATGTCGCGGTTCTGTGCCACCTGCTCATTAACCGGAATCGGTCGAGCTGCAAGGTAAAAAACAAAATGGAAGAACAGAAAAAAGTAGGTTAGTAGGTTGCCTGGACGAAACTATGTGGCACAAACCTCAATTTGCAAAAATACAGAAACCGGACAGAAGTTACTAACCTGGTTGCTTCGGCTTTTTCCCACGTGCTGACGCGTGAGCCGCTGGGTCAGCGCGCATGAGGCCAGCGACATCGGCGCTGCGCCTTCGGCTCTCAGGACGGTCATCCTCGGCCGGATCGTCCTAAGGCAGTAAAACGGGAGTTTCGGCTAACTCGCACTCGTCTGGATGTCCCTCACCCTTGTCCTGCTCCTCACCCTCGCCAGGACCTTCGCCCTCGTCGATTAGAGCGTTGAGTTGGTTATCCTCCGGATCGGCGTCAGGCTGAGACGTATTGGCGGCAACATCTGCTGTTGCGGGATTTTTGTTAGACTCCTCCTCCGCGGCTGTTTCTGCAATGTTTGGGTCGGGAAGTGACTGGTGTGCAGTGCTGGCTTCTTGTCGCTGCAATTCCGCGTTCAGCCTGTCCCTCAGTGCAGCAAGATCTTCACGAGACATCTCTTGCAGCTCAGGGTTGCGAGGAATTTCTTTGTTACCAGCACCCTGGCGAGTGCAGGACCCCCCAGTCTTCTTCGTTGGTGGCTTGTAACCACTAGTGTCGTGACCAGCCAGGCAAACTGAAGTCGTGAGTTGGCGTTGAGGACGACCAGGAACTTGAGCCTGATTGACGCGGGCCTGGGTTAGGGGGGCACCAGTGGCAGCGAGCTGATTGGCCATGCTGAGCGTGCGGGAACGATTGGGGGGATTGGTTGGAAAACTGTGTGCGACGATTGATCCGTCGCACAAGCAGTCATATATGCCGATTCAACACACCTAACGAACTGATTTCATTGGTTGTTCAAACCATGAAGCAATGCGTTGGAGAATCGTGCGAATCGCAGACTAGTGCGAGTCGCAGGCTGTACCGCGAACCACGATTCGAATTCTGGCGAATCCCTCGGCCCGCGCACCATCGAACGTTCTGCACAGATGCACCCCGAGCTGCAAAGAGAATCTATTTTGTGGTCACAGCGACCGGTTCGAGGGGTCCCGCCACGTGGCGCATTATAGAACTCACAAAAGTGGCGCATTGTTTGTGATCTGCACTACACTATGGATGTTTTAAATATGGGGAATAGCTCAACAAAACTATAACATGATTATTCATGATGTGTGGTGCAAACTATGGGAGCATGTCTTGTATATGCTTGATCAAATATGTACAACTACATGATATGACGCTTCAAAATATAAAATGGTTCAACAACCACAAATGTTCACTAGCTTGGGGCTACACAAGGTGGACGGCACGCAGTACACTCGTCGTCTCTACCACCCGATATCTCTGATTCATTGCAGCCCACTTGAGCTGCTTGCAGTGGGTCTTCTCGTCTGGCTCTGGAAGTGCGTCGTAGTACTTGATAAACGCATAGTCGCAACGATCTCTCCCATGCCCAATGTGAAACAGGAGGAGCACCTTCGCGTACCACTCACCGGAGCCATGAATGGCTACGTCGGAAAACCATCCGCGTCCGTGAAACACAGGCACGGCACGTAACCAATGTGGAATGGGCCTAAACGATGGGTGCGTAGCAGGAGGCATGGCCAACTCATTGTGCACATGAATGGTAGTTGCGTTCTTTGTGGCCTCTGAGAATCGGTTAAGGGCTTGCCTTAGGTGTCGGAGGTCGTCACCCAATGCAGTGACGTATCTCTCGTCACGCACCCTCGAGGGAATTGGGAAACTTACGAACGGTGCCTCACGACGGCCTCCCAAGACAGTCAAAGGCCATGCCGATCGTCCCATGATGCGCCTGCCAGTGGCCATTGCCTGCACATTGAAACGATAGGCGTTAGTGATGGCACAAGCAATTGTTGAGATTTGCATCAAATTGCCTTGACTCACCTCGCGCATAGCGGTGTTGTAATGCGTCTCTGTCACTTCCGACGCACCAAGAGAATCCACTGCAAGTTTGGTCTCCTCTGCGCGCACAAGTTGCCCTGATGCATCACGTTTGTTGGACGCACGATAAGGCCGTTTTATGTGGTCCTTGTGGAAGAACTCGGAAATGTTGGCATCGTAGTGTATGGGTGGGCCCGCACGACGGATGGCTTCGACGTAATGGCTTATCAGGTGCATCTTGATGAATCTCCAATTTGAAGTTTGCTTAAACGCGGTTGTTAGTTGATCGATCATCCTGCAGACAAAGGAAAGCACAAACACACGTTAGAGAACCGAGTTCAGCAACGTTTGATGCAAACAAGTAGGTTTTCTTACCTCACGGCTAGCTCCTGCAACTCTTTCAGGGTGTTGTCGTCGTATGTTGTTGCCTTTGCGCACTCCGTGTACCAACGAAGGTACGATATGATAGCGTCCGTTTGCGGTTGCGCGATGTGCGAGGAGACGAGAAATGGCAGAAGTTGCATCATTGAACGATGCTCATACGTTTGGTAGGAAGCACCTAGCTTGAAGTATTGCCCAGACGGCAGCCGTAATGAATCCCACCTACAAATATGTTTGAGGTATTTGAGCCGCCTGAAACATGGACAGAACAACAAAGTAGTGAGTATGTGTTTAGATGTGGAGGGTTACACATGAGCCAACGTTGCCATCATTGCAATAGTACATACCTATCGATTGCTTCACGTGTTGATTTGGGTATGATCTCACGCAAGGCTGTGAGGATATGATCGAGAATGCCCAAGTCCGCTTGGTGCATGAGATCCGGCATGACTGCTAGGTATGGGTTCCCCCATTGCTCCGACTCAAACCTCCATCCCCAGAGTGCGCTCTGCATAGACAAGCGACGCCAAATGAATGGAAGCGGAGGTAAGGAAAGGTGAAACATATGATAAAACCAACTTAGACACCATGAACAACTGACCTCGTCAGGATGGGTTGAAAGGTCTTCCACTGCTGCCTCCCCACGTCGTCTTGGTGCCTTTAGAGCTGTGCAAATGTCCTGTTGCTGCTGGACGGTGCGCCATTTTAAGTGTGTCTGGTATTCAGCCAGGTCATTCTTATGGACGGTGCATAGTGAGCAGGGGTAAGTTGTAGCCCCCGACTTCGTACAAGTTATCTTACACGTCTCTGGGTAGTCTGCGATGTAAGCATACAGCGCAGGGTATGCGGTGAATGAATGGCCCGATGCGTCTTCCACTCTAGCGCCCCTGTTTAGAACACGTGCAAAAGGAAAGCAAAAAGGTTAGTAAATATTGTAGCATAATCCATTCACTCACAAATGTTGTTGGGCTAACAATACCTATGAACACAAACTTACACATGACTGGCGGCCTTGAGGGGCTGTAAAGCCTTTCCAAGAACCTTATGGAATACTTGTAGACGGTCAAGTGATGTGTACTCGGGAGGAAACTCCGGCAGCAATGCAATCATCGCATGACCGTGTGGTTTCCAACGGTCCTCACGTGCGATGTTGGCCAGCGACATGTAGATGGGATGTCCTTTAGTCTTCCCTCTTGAGTCCATCATCGTTTCGTCTGAGGCGAGAATGATGGTTGCAACAACATCATCCGGTCCAAGCTTATCCTGTTTGGCGAAACAGTGGGTCGACAAATGGTGGTGCCGGGAAATAAAAAGTGTGAGGTGAGCGAAAATGAAACACATGGCGATGGCCCAACCAACAACCCGCAACATACCTGGACGTTGTTCCAAAAATCTGCCGTCTCGGGTGCGTCGTAGACACGAACGTTATTCACAATCTTCCGATGAGCTCTTGTGACGAGTCCTCGAGCGTTGCGGGAATCGCGCAACAGGGACTTCATGGCCTGGTTGTCGAAGGCACAGAAGTGCAAGGGAGGGGCAGGTCAGGGTAATGAGGGGTGGGGGGGAGAGGATTAGGAGGATGAAAGGATGCTGAGAGGCCAATACGGAGAATGAGGAGCAGGGAGGGTGAATGAGGGGTGGGGAGGGAGAATGAAGGGGTGGGGAGGGGAATGAGAGGCAGGAAGGGAAAAGTGGGGTGAGGAGAGAGAATGAGGGCCAGGGAGGGAGAGGGAGGGGTGGGGGACAGAGAATGAGGTGCAGGGATGGATCATGAGGCGCAAACAATGGAAATGAGGGGCAGGCAGGGAGAGGGAGGGGTGGGGGACAGAAAATGAGGTGCAGGGATGGATCATGAGGCGCAAACAATGGAAATGAGGGGCAGGCAGGGAGAGGGAGGGGTGGGGGACAGAAAATGAGGTGCAGGGATGGATCATGAGGCGCAAACAATGGAAATGAGGGGCAGGCAGGGAGAGGGAGGGGTGGGGGACAGAAAATGAGGTGCAGGGATGGATCATGAGGCGCAAACAATGAAAATGAGGGGCAGGCAGGGAGAGGGAGGGGTGGGGGACAGAAAATGAGGTGCAGGGATGGATCATGAGGCGCAAACAATGGAAATGAGGGGCAGGCAGGGAGAGGGAGGGGTGGGGGACAGAAAATGAGGTACAGGATCATGAGGCGCAAACAATGAAAATGAGGGGCAGGCAGGGAGAGGGAGGGGTGGGGGACAGAAAATGAGGTGCAGGGATGGATCATGAGGCACAAACAATGGAAATGAGGGGCAGGCAGGGAGAGGGAGGGGTGGGGGACAGAAAATGAGGTGCAGGGATGGATCATGAGGCGCAAACAATGGAAATGAGGGGCAGGCAGGGAGAGGGAGGGGTGGGGGACAGAAAATGAGGTGCAGGGATGGATCATGAGGCGCAAGCACAGAGAATAAGGGGCAGGGAGGGAGAATTAGGGGAGGGGGAAAGGGGATGAGGAGCAGGGAGGGTTGTTAACTGGCAAACAATGAGAATGAGGGGTGGGGGATAGGGAATGAGGGGCAGGTTGAGAGGATTCAGCCGCAAATCCTGAGAATGAAAGGCAGGGAGGGAGAATGGGGGGTGGGGGAGAGGGAAAGAGGTGCAGGGAGGGATGATGAGCCGCAAATCGTGAGAATGAAAGGCAGGGAGGGAGAATGAGGGGTGGGGGAGAGGGAATGAGGTGCAGGGAGGGATGATGAGGCGGAAATCCTGAGAATGAGCCTGATGGGAGGGAGAATGAGGGGTGGAAAAAGGGAATTAGGAGAATGAGGAGAGAGGATGAGGCGCACACCCGAGAATGAGGAGCAGGGAGGGGGAACGAGGGGTGGGAGAAGGGAATAAGGTGCAGGAAACGAGAATGAGGCGCGAACCCTGAGAATAGGACGGGAGGAAGACAGAGGGGTGGGGGAAAGGGAATGAGGTGCAGAGAGGGTTGATGAGGCGCAGCCACCGAGAATAAAAGCAAGGGAGGGAGAATGAGTGGTGGGAGAAAGAAAACGAGGTGCAGGGACGGATGATGAGGGGCACATACCGAGAATGGAAAGCAGGGAGGGAGAACGATAGAGTGGGGGAGGGTAGATGAGGGGCATGGAGGGAGGATGAGGCGCGAACCCCGAGAATGAGAGGACGGAAGGAAGCATGAGGGATAGGTGCAAGAGAATGAGGTGCATGGAGGGATGATGAGGGGTAGGGAAAAGAGGAGGGGGAGGGAAGGAGAATGAGGGGTGGGGAAAGAGAATGAGGGTCAGAGATGAATCATGAGGCGCAAGCAATGAGAATGAGGGGCAGGGAGAATGAGGGGTGGGAGAAGGGAATGAGATATCCGAAGGGATGATGCGGCGCAAACCGTGAGAATGAAAGGCAGGGAGGGAGAATGGGGGGTGGGGGGAAAGGGAATGAGGTGCAGGTGAGGGTTCCGAGGCGCAAACCGTGAGAATGAAAGGCAGGGAGGGAGAATGGGGGGTGGGTTTGAAAGGGAATGAGGTGCAGGTGAGATAACCGAGGCGCAAACCGTGAGAATGAAAGGCAGGGAGGGAGAATGGGGGGTGGGGGGAAAGGGAATGAGGTGCAGGTGAGATATCCGAGGCGCAAACCGTGAGAGAGAATGAAAGGCAGGGAGGGAGAATGGGGGGTGGGGGGAAAGGGAATGAGGTGCAGGTGAGATATCCGAGGCGCAAACCGTGAGAATGAAAGGCAGGGAGGGATATTGGGGGGTGGGGGAAAGGGAATGAGGTGCAGGTGAGATATCCGACGACTAACCTTTAGGCTGTCACAGAAGTGATATTTCAGAAGCGCCTTCCCCGCGATCCGGCACTCGCCACTTTGCCATGATCGGTCCGTGTTGACAGCCTTGGTCGCCACATGTTTGTATAAGTCTCGAAGCGTTTTCCAGCCGCAAACCTCGCCAAATCGACCGCCGCTTTTGTTGAGAATCCGCAGCAACGCCGCTACAGCCCGTTGAGACAACTTCTCGTTTAAAACCCATCGACATAGTTCATCCTCAAAGGAGAACGGCGTCGGAGGACTAGGCTCCGCATCCTGTGCCGAGCGCGAGGGCCCCACGTCAGGCATCGCAGCACGTTCATGAGAAGGAGATGGCGGCTCCTCAGAGTCTGAGCTATCCTCGCACACGGGCCTATCATCGTCGATTGGAGCTTGAGGACTCATAGTTTCATCAAACGTTTGAGGCAAGAACGGGTCCTCCCGGGCCATTGGGCGAAAAGTGCTCGGAAGACGTGTGCCAATCGCATCGTTCCCTGCACCATCGCTGGCGGGTCTGCACGCCGCATTGCTGGCTTGCGCCAGCCTGCATTGATTGCTTCCTACGTGTCTTCGAAGGCCTCCATTACCTACAAAGGGGCCTGAACCGCATTCTTTGCAATAACCTGAGGGTAATTCGTCCATAAATACGCTGCGCCGTTCCTACAACTACGACTTAAAACTGGATCTGTAATGAAATTGGCTGAGTTGTTGTGACTGAATCTAAATGATGTAGCTGCTCTGGCGTCTTTGATTGCATTAGTTGCAAGGCATTGACATGCAGCAGCATTCACTGAGGGTTGCGTCAATTTCATTTCACATTTGCGAAATACCCACCCCGACCACTCTGAAAAACAGCGCAACCGATGTATAACGTGTGACATCTCATTCAACCGTTTTCAAACGAACGAAAAAGACCCGCCCCATCCTTCCGAATTCACAATTCGGAAATTTCTGGAAGAATGTGCGCCTCGATTTAGAATGTGTTGAATTTGTGAAGAGAAATTTAACGCGCCCCGATGAAATGTGGTTCATTTTTCGCCCTTTTCTCCGATTGGCTAGCTTGACGTTGCGACCAACGGGAAGTCGTCGCTGGCGGGCAGCCTCGTTGGCGACTTCGCCAACGAGTCAAATCAAGTCATGTATATGTGTGACGAATTGAGTCGCGACGAAATTTGAACAAGCGACTTCGCCAACCCCATCGCGCAACAGACGCGTCGCAAGTCACATTTGGAACGGTCAGGAATGTCAATTCACCTGCACGCACTTAAAACGTCGTTAAGAGCCAAGTCTCGAGCGCACGGTTTCCACAAAAAATATCATAACCAGTACCTTTAGAAAGTACTGACGCTCCTGAGTATCAACCGTAAACGGCCATAACATAAAACGAACCGCGTGGCTATTGGTCAATTTCCCAACGTCTAAAATTGTAACGTTAATTGTAAGTTCAGACCACATTAAACAATACAAGGAAAACGTTACAAAATAAATAAAGAAAAACTGCCTGTTATCTCATAACGGTACATCTCATATGAAGGTGATCGGTGAACATCGCAACCGTCAGATCAAAGCAACCACAAACAGTTATACATCCGAGGGTAGTTTACGTGCTGCATTCGGATTGAGCCGAAGAGATCTCGCTTGCAAGGTGGGCCGTTGATCCGAGAAGATCGAACGCCACATAACAAAATTGAAATCACACCCCCCAGGTCATTTACGTGCTCCTCGCAACGATGCCCCAACCAGTGCGTCGCGAACCATCTCACGAATCACAATTTTGATCTTGACCGTTGCTCAAATCGCTTGGAATTTCATCCGTCGATCAAGCGCCTGCACATTCCACGAAGCAACCAAAGAGATTTTCCCGAACACGCAATTGGCAAAACAGGGTTCATCGGCATCGCAAAATTGCCGAAGTGCCCCCACAAACTGGCACAGCATGTATACAACTATTTATGACGCTCTGAAACCATCGAGAAAAGTGCGTCAGTAGGCTAGACCATCTACAACAGGCTCAAGATTTTTGCGATGCTTTTGAGGCGCCTAAAAAACCAGCCATGTCTCACCTTGGAGCTCACGTTCTTCGTCCCGCTTGCGTCTTTCTGGTAGTACGCGGCCGTGATGGCCCACCACGCCTTCACACTCGCGTCCGCCGCACTGCCCTGGCTGCCCGAGTCGCTGCTCAGCGCCTGCACGATCACGTCCTTGCCCGACCCCGACCCCCAGCTGCCGTCGTATATGTGATAAATGTTCACCGTCGGTGTGCCCACCACCACCGGCCCGCCGTGGTACTTGATCGGCGCGCTGCCGGCCGGCGTGATGGCGCTCGTGGTGGCGCCGGCGCCGTCAGAGGCGGAGGAGCGGACGAGGGGAAAGCCAACGGCTGAAACGATCTTCGCCCCGCCTGGACCGCCGCGGGTTGCTGCTGCTGCTGCTGTCTGCGTTGCGCGTGAGCGGGGTGCGTGAGGGACACGCCCTTCCTCGGACTTACGGATTTCCCGACCCATTCTGATTCGGCTGGTCGAAGCGCGGCGGAGGCGAGGAGCAGGGCGAGCGCGAGGCGAAGAGCAGCGGGGCGAGCGAACGAAATCGGCATGCTCCATCGCGGAAAAGGGAGGTGCGAAAAATAACTGGAAAGTTACTACCCCGTAACTTTCCAGTTGCATTTCCCGCGCAAGAAAAAACTCTTAGTCGAAAACAGTGGTAGCGTCAGTAACTTGCAAAGTGACTTTCCCGTCACATTCCCAACACAAAATGTACACTTCGATGCAATTGTGAGGTATACGGTAAAGCAACAAGGGGGGTGGAAAACGTCACTCTTGAGCAACCTACGCAAAAGTGTCACGACAGCGCCACAGTCGCCACAGCACGCTAAGACTCCGATTTGCAATGGGAAATGGGAGGTTCCGATAGCATTTCCGCCTCCGCCTAAACACAAACCGGAACATGTGGAACGTGACATTGACATGGCGTATATGAAAATCGGATTCATAGGGAGGGATAATAATACCTTTCGTAACGGATAATTGCAGCTGCCGAAAATGCACCTCACCGTCAATTTGCTACACACACGTCATCCTTGAAAACGCTGAAAATCGTCGACCTGCAAAGGGAGATGGGAGGTTGCGAGAGGAAGGGGACAGTCCAATATTAGGCTGTGACGTGTGAGAATTGAACAAGAATGAAGGAGGGGGGTTTCACTAGCAGCAATGAGGATACATATAGCAAACCCCAAATGGGTTGTACTCGCTATAGAGCACCCCACTACAGGCTAGAGAATAACATTTTGACACACCCCCATAGCCAAAGTGGGATGTAATCAGCACAATGAGCAAGCAGGCATAGAGCAAGAGTTCACAATAGGTAAGTAAGGCTAGAGCTAATCACAGAGGGCAAGTGAGGAGGAGAAGAGACTGTGGGGGAGAGAAGATGGGAGGCGACTGCTGACGCTGCAGACACACAGACGAGCTGCTGGCTCAGTGGCTACTGAAGCAAAGGCCCGGACTATAGGAGTAACTTGCTCCGTGGCTAAAAGTAGCGGCAGACGAGCAACTGACCCACAGGCGACTGGCAACTACCAGAGATTGTAGCCTCCGGACTGCTGGTGTTGCTGATGACAAGACTGCTGCCTCCACGCAACCTCCCCTAGCTGCACAACGCCCTTCTCACACACCCCCTGCTCAAACCCTAACCCTACACCCACAGCACCCCCGTATCTGTCAGACGCCCACATATCTGTCAGAATCACAACCACTAGACCATTGGGATAAAAGAGCTTGTTTCAGTAGCGGGTCAGTGCGCCCATAACCCCCCAGGCGAACTCGCCTGTAACCCTCTCCAGGATCAATCAGGCATCCACGGTGCATATCTACTGACACCCCCCCACACTGGGAGGCCCAGGACTAAGCACAGCGGCAACGGCCTACATGTGCATATACCGGGAATCGAACCCGAGACCGTTCTGATACCATGTCAGAATCCCAACCACTAGACCATTGGGATAAAAGAGCTTGTTTCAGTAGCGTGTCAGTGCGCCCACAACCCCCCAGGCGAACTCGCCTGTAACCCTCTCCAGGATCAATCGGACATCCACGGTGCAGATCTACTGACAATATCCACCTCCCTCAAAACCCTAGCTCCACTCCCACAGTACCCCCCTTAAACCCTAAACCCTAGTCCCCACACATCCACCCCCCTCAGCGACAGCTGCAGCAGTGGGAGACGAAGGAGGAGGAGGAGCAGGGGAGACCACACACCCGTCACCCCCTTCTTGCCACCCCCAAACCCTAACACAGGGCAGGGCGGGATGGCGGGTAGGGAGGGGGGGGCGGGGGGAGGGGCCGACGCGCGGCCTCCCAGGGCGCCAAAGCAGGCGGCAGAAGGGGCGACGCTCGCCCCCCCCCCCCCCCCAGGTTGCCCCTCCCATCGCCTGTCGAGGCGACCAGAGGGGGCCGCGTGCGGCGACGGGGCCGAGGAAGTGCGGCGACGGGGCCGCTGAAGGGCGGCGACGGGGCCGCTGAAGGGGTGGCGGTAACAGGGCCACTGAAGGGGCGGCGACGGGGCCGCGGAAGGGCGGCGACGGGGCCGCTGAAGGGCGGCGACAGGGCCGCTGTAAGGGGCGGCGACGGGGCCGCGGAAAGGGCGGCGTCGGGGCCGCTGAAAGGGCGGCGACGGGGCCGCGGAAGGGCGGCGACGGGGCCGCTGAAAGGGTGGCGACGGAGTCGCGGAAGGGCGGCGACGGGCCGTGAAAGGGCCGCGAGGGGCCTGGAAGGGCGGCAACGGGGCCGCGAAGGGGCCGCGAGGGGCTAGGAAGGGCGGCAACGGGGCCGCTAAGAGAAGCGCGAGGGGCACGCCACGGGGCGTGCCGAGCACAGAGTAGCAGCGGAAGCAGTTGGGTCCTAGGATCGGAACCACTCTGATAACATGTGAGAATTGAACGAGAATGAAGGAGGGGGGTTTCACTAGCAGCAATGAGGATACATATAGCAAACCTTAGATGGGTTGTACTCGCTATAGAGCACCCCACTACAGGCTAGAGAATAACATTCTGACATGACGTAGGATATCGCCTTAAACTGTGAACGCTAGAGACTAAACACAGGAAACTATGAGCGTCAGAAACTAATAACAAGAAACTATGAACAAAGGGTTTGAACATGTGCGCTTTGGAGGATGTTGTCAGAATCCCAACCACTAGACCATTGGGATAAAAGGGCTTGTTTCAGTAGCGGGTCAGTGCGCCTATAACCCCCCAGGCGAACGCGCCTGTAACCCTCTCCAGGATCAATCGGGCATCTACAGTGCAGATCTACTGACAGATGTAAACGCAAAACAACACGCCAAGGTGGCGGTAAATCAAAGCTAAGAAGGAACTAACAACTATGCGAAGGTGAGTGAGACGTGCGTGGGAGTTGGAAATCTGGCAAGTAAATGGTTGGGGTGGAAGGTTGAGATGGTTTGGTGTGGGGGGCTTGGGGTGATGACGTGTAGATAACGGATGGTGTTGATTGCTTGACACAATTTAGCCGCTCAACTGATTGGTTGTTGAAAATTCTTTGGTTCACATGTCACACTTCAAAAGTGACAGATTTGAGTACGTATGGTAGGGGTATTGGGCAGGTTAGGGTCGCGGACTCAAACGAAATCGTTGTTTCCACATTACCAGTTTCGTTAATTTTTGTGGCAGCTTATACGAAATGTCACCGTTGTCAATCGTTCTTGACCACACAAAACAGAGGTCTCGATGCTTAGCTCACATTCTAGGGACTCTTTTGTGCCCGTGAATTGCCCCGAAAATGGTGTACGGAAACTTGCGATTTGGGCGCGTTGTTTTTTGTACGCTTCTCTCAAGGAAACCGCAATCTTTTCGCAGAAAAACCTTCGGACCCCCAATTTCGACATTTTCCTTTTCCGCGATGTCGTAATAGTAGTGACGAATGCCGTTGAAAGGTGCGGGTCGATAAGCGCTCAGGGTGCTTCAGGGTGTTGTGCTGGCATGCGATCCAGCGGGGCAGATTTTTAAATGCAGAAAACGCCCGCATTCATGAGACCTGCCGCATTGTGCGTGGTGCGGCATTTCTCGGACTGCTAACGACCAAGCGTGTTTTAGAAGACTCTCCGGTTGGACGTGCTCGGCTCGCCGTGTTTCCATTTTTCGCTTGTCGCGACTCGCTGGCGTGCGTGGCACGCCCAGCTGGGCACAGGCTGTGGCGTAATTCACTGTCGCCAGTCTGAGCCCGACATGAGCAGATAGGATTGGATTGGAAGGAGGGTTCCGTCGCCGCTTCGGCAGAGCAATCGCAAGGAAGGAGAGGAGATGGGGAGAAGGGAAGGGATGGGAATGCGTGGTTGTGGAGTGTAGGAGACGGGTATATTGTTACGAAACATTGTGTTACGGTTGCTACTCGCGAAAGGCTTCGACTAGCCATCTCAACGCGCGACGGATATCCCACAAGTTCGCCAGAGATTTTCTTGACTCGTCCAGGGCAGAGGTGTTACATGGCTCTGGCAGTGTAATAACAAGATGTTATGAATAAACTAACAGAGTGCGTGCTATTAGTGAATAGAAGAGACTGCTTACAAGAACCGACAATACAATGAAAGTGACGGGATATTGTGCCATCTTCGTCAAGGACGGGACTGATCAGTGCAAGCTACAATTTAGTTATTACCCCACCAATGAGATGGCAGCATATTTCCTGACAAAACGTCTCCCTCAACAGTCCAGTACTGCATGTTGCTGATTGGACTCGGCAACGTCGACAACACAAACACAATAGTACAGCGCTGCAATACAATTTGAAATATAGTCTCTAAAAGGATGTTCTGTTCATTTTGCACTAGAGGAAGGTGATCACAAGGTGCCAACATGCCCCAAACTCAGGCATTTTATTTAAAGGGGTGTTACATACGAGGGAATATAATAAGAAAGCATCCAGTGGCTTGTTGTGCCGTAATAAGCAACAAGTTGCTTGCTGCTCAGAAAGGCAGCAAGCGTATACACTTACAAAGCAACAAACATCCAATTTTCAGGCTTATCACCATGGAGGCTGAGGCTCTTGCACCTGCACTTTCACCTGCTTCTGATTTTGCTCCCCATACCACCACCACCGCCATAGCCCTCCTCTCCTCGCCTCTACCTCTCTCCCTGCTTCACCATCCACTCTACACAAGCACTCAGGGGCAGGATATGTGTACAGTGATTGGTCGGCTCGCCGAGCCTTGATCTGTCCGAGCCTGCCCTCATGGCCCGTGCGCACAGCTCGGGTGAAGTCCGGCCAAGTTAGGTTCGGTGTTTGAAGGAGCGAGGCTAGGAGAGGGGTGTTGAGCTTGATGGTCTTTCTGCCTCCGAAATAGGTTCGGTACCCAGCCTGACGGGTGGGGGGAATATGGGAGAAGGGGTGCCTCTTAGGAGCATAACCAGGGAGCTTGCGGCATGGAGACAAATTGATCTGCTGATATGTGTGTCAGTGTTTGGGCTGATGCCATGACTGTATTTAAGAGTTTGAAGCACGAAACGACCTGATGCGCCCGCCACAACGCCATGCACTCACATGATTTGATGCCACCATGTCCGCACTGTGTCATGCACTCACAGCACCATGCACTCACAGCACCATGCACTCACAGCACCATCCACTCACAGCACCATGCACTCACCATGACATTATGCATGTTCCCTGCTGACGTGGACACAAACACGTCACTGTGTGTGCTGACGTAGAAGTCCAGTGCTGCCAACATGGACGCCCGCCCACGGAACGGCCGCAGCTCCTCTGGGGTGGCAAGCGTTGTCTTATCCTCGAGGTTGGGGAAGAGGCGTCGCAGTGCGGCCATGCGACTGGGGTTGCCATACACCTGCATGGCGTTGGGGGAAAGAAATGTAATTGGGACGGAAAGGTGAGTGGGATTCGAAAAGAGAGAAGGGGTCTGAAAGGGGAGTGGGGCCTAACAGGGGAGTGGGGACTGCATAGGGAGAGGGCATTGAAAAGGGAGTGGGGATTGCATAGGGTGAGGGCATTGTGGCTGTTACAAGGGCAATCTGCACTCCAGTCACTGTCAGCACTGCCATGCGACTGTCCCCCCATACATTGGCAAGCGGTTGTGGGGGAGTGGAACGGGGAGTGGGACCTAAAAGTCAAGCATAGACTGTAAGAGGACTGGGGTTTGAAAACGAGGTTGCCAGTCGAACGGGGTTAAGACAGGGGGAGGACTGAATAGGTAAATTGGATATCAGTGGAGGAGACCGGGCCTAGCTGTACAGTGCTGCATCTGCCCTCTCACGTGCTCCTGGCGTGTTCACCAAGTCATCAATACGGTACCGGGCACTACCCAGCACACACTGCAGCATCTGTCAAAGTTATATTTAAGATATATCCTGCTTGCTGTAGTTACTATAGTTATTGTTCTTTGCTGTTGGTGGTGCACCTCTTGTTTGTGTTTCTCGACTATATCTTGTATGCTTTGCTTTAGTGAAGCTAACTTGTTTGGTCAAGATTCTCGCTACTCCCTTGGCCTCGACCCTCGTCACCCGCTTGGCCTAGGCTACTAAGCCTAGGCCCTCCTTAAACCTGGTTGCCAGCTACGATAGTGTTTTGACAGCATCATGTCTGAGATTCGATGCTTCATTCCTCACGTGTAGCACACCACAACCCACAGCATTGCACCACACGCCACACCCCACACCCTACCACACCACACAACACCATACCACACCACAACACACCATAACACACAGCACCGCACCACACCACACCTTGTATGAAGCAACATAGAGCCGCGTGTGTCTGGAGAATCCCAGCGCTGCCAGCACCAGCCCAGCCTCCTCTGGCGTGAGGGGACACTTGCCAGCCGCCCTCAGCTGCTGCGGGGTGTGCTGCACTTTACCCTCCAGCTCCCCCCACGCCCTTTTCCAGTACCGCCTCAGCTGCTCCCGCTCCTCCCTCGCCTCCCCATAGTCGCACCGCGAGTGGGCCACCATGTCCTGTGTGGGGGGAAGAGAACGAGGAGGGGAAAGTCATGTAGAGAGGGGAATGAGGTTGTGAGCTTGAAAAAAATAGCAATTCGGTATGTGTTGCAGGTGACTCATCAGGTCGAACCTCAGGTGACTCTCCAGGTCGAAACTCAGGTGACTCACCAGGTCGAATCGCAGGTGCATCGCCAGAAACCTCCTCCTCCTCTGCCCGCCCTCCACTGCCTCCTGCGTCCCCACCTTTCTCCCCTTCAACCCTGCATCCCTCCCCTTCCTCCACCACAATCCCCTGGCCGCACCAATCACTCTCCGCACTCCTTTCACCATCCACAACGCCCCATGCCTTTCCTCTTGCACCGCTTCTTTTCCCTCATCCCTCCACCCCCTCCCGTCCCTCCCTTCCCTTCCCTCCCGCTCCTCTCTCCCTTCCATCCCCTCACGCCCCTCAGCTCCCTCGTCTCTCAACCGCTGCATGTGCTTCCACTCGCCCCACATGGCGCCAATCCGTGCCAGCCGCATGCCCTCCGCCCACTGCTCCAGCCGTGCTCGCACACGGTGCTCTATGCGCAACCACAGCTCCCTCACCTCCCTCACTCGCGCCCTCACCGCTTCCCACCACAGTGCACCTCCTTTGCCCCCCTCCTCACCCATCTTCTCCCCCCCCTCTGTGCGAGGCCCCTCTAAAACAAGCCCTTCACCCTGGCCTCCCACCCAGGAAACGCCTCCCCTTACCTCGCTCCCCCACACATCATCCCCCTCTGCTTCGTCCCCCCCAACATCGCTCCCCCTTGCTTTGCCGCTCCCCCCCACATCGGCCCACACCACTCGCTCCAGCAATCGCCGGCGTCTGTAACCCCCAAGCAGCCCCCTCTCACTTGCCCCATCCCCACTCCTCACACGCTCAATCCCCGCACTCTCCCTCTCTGCACCACTACCCCATGCATCCTCCCTTCCCTCATAATCCCAGGAAAAATCGCTCCCCCTGTATGCTGATCGCCCATTTCCCTCCTCCCCCTCACCTCCTTCCAGCTCCCTCTCCCAACGCCTCCTGCTATCCCTCCCCACCCCCTCCCTCCCATGCAGCGCCTTTTTTCCCTCTCTCCCCTCCTCCTCATTCCCACCCCTCTCCTCTCCATGCTCCATTCTCTTCTCCCTCGCCTCCCACCATAGCAGTTCTTCCAGCCCCTCCCCCCCCACTGCGTCCCTCTCCCCCCTCCTCACTCCCATCATCCCTCACACCCCTCTCCTCTCCATGCTCCAGTCCCTTATCCCTCCCATCCTCACTCCCATCATCATTCCCATCCCTCTGCCCTCCATGCTCCGATTTCTTTGCCCTCGCCTCCCACCACAGCAGCTCCTCCAACCCCTCTCCATTGCCTCTTTCCCCCACCTCCTCCCCCACTCTCTCCCCTCTCAACTCCTCAACCCCCTCCTCTCCCTCCTCCTCCCCCTTTTCGCCCTCGCTCCTACCTACTCTTCTTTCTCCTCCCATTCCCCCCTCTCGTCCCTCCCCTCCCGAGTCCTCGCCCTCCCCTCCATCCCCAACCAGCTCCACCCGGATCCTTCTCCCCTCTTCTCTCTCTCCCCCTCCCTCCTCTCCTCCTCCTCCATCCTCATTCCCTCCCCCTTCCTCTCTCACTCCCCTCTCCTCACTTCCTCCTCCCTTCCTCCCTCGGCCCACCACGTCAGCAGCACTCGTGTCAGCAGACAGCGACTGTCCCACTCCCCAACTTTCCTCCGCACCTTCGTCCCAATCGCCTCCCCCCTCCTCTCTTCCGCCTCTCTCCCCCCCGCCATCCTCCAGTACAGCAGCACTCGTGCTGTCAGAAGGTGAGTGGGGAAGTACCCTACGGGTGGGGCGCAGGGAGGGGTCCTGCAGTCGCTGCACCAGCTTCTGCCTGGAAGAGGGGAGACAGAGGGGTGAGGGAAGGGGGGAAGGGGGAGTGAGAGGTAAGGGAGGAGAAAGATGGAGAACTGCGCTCTGGGCTTTGGGTGGGGCGTAGGATTGGGTTCAGCAGCAACTGCACCAGTCTGTGCCTGGAAGGGAAAGAGCCACATATTTGAGACTGAGTCAGAAATGATGGCGCAAAGCGGTTCAAGGGAGGGGAAAAGTGGCGTGGGAGGCGGGGCGGCAAAAGCAAGTGTGCTTGGCTGCTTGATCAATGCTGCTGAAAACATTCTGCAAGCATGCTGCCTAAATAAAGCATCATATCATATTTCACAGATTCAGATTAACTTACTCCTTCATGTTGTTGATCCTACCGGTATGTTGTTTAAGGGCGGATTCGATCGCAGCAAGCCAACTGAGGTCGCTCGTGTCTAGATCTAAATGGATCTAACCAGATTCAACCAGGAGAGAAGAAAGCGAATAGAAGAAAGGCTTGTAAGTCAATCAGTAAGACAAAACATCGCCTAGGATGTGCGTGCGAACGCGTTTTGGCAACTAAGCCTTCATCAGCGCAGTGTTCAGTTTCAGATTAGCTTACTCCTTTATGTTGTTGATCCTACCGGCAAAACCAAAGTTACTGTTATTCGCGATAGAAATGTGCTTCGCAATCCGATCACCCAACCTCCTCTTCTTCGCGCCACCGCTTAGGCCCTTCTTCCAGCCAACGCGTAAGTAATAGAAACACTTTTCGTACTGATTTCTTAGCACGCGACCTGATTTTCTATCAGATCGTAGTTGTTGAGTCCATCTGTTCTACTACGCCTCGATCGTGCGTCAATCTTCGTGATTACCAGATCGAGCCTATTGATCCGTTTATTTTACACTCCTCACTGTATTTAGTAGCAGTAATTTCTGTGTCGCTCCCAAAGTGTTGCTACTCCCGTTTCTAGTAGTCGCTCCAGCGAGCAGCCGGGTAAGCAGCAGCAGCAACAACTTTAACTACGTTGATTGGGTAGTCAACGGCCTCAAAGGTCAAAGACGCTAATCTCTTGCTTCAAAACTTATCTCTAGCGACGACTCTGATTTCCTGTGACATCCAGTGACAACCGAGACTTCGCTAGCTGCGACTGAGACGGTGGGGATTGCGGTGTTTGCCCGCGGCGTCAGGACTTGCTCCTTGATCAACAGATCCTGCGTCTGTCGTGAGCAAGATAACGAATCCTGCTTGAGATCGGATTAGCTGCTACTTAACGCTCTGCCTCCTCTCCCGGTTGTGCTGAATCGGCTTGAGGCGAGACGTTGGGACGGAGCATAGGCGTCTAGACAGCGCTGGTATATGTTTCTTATTTGAGCGTCGTTTTTGCAGTTGTTTCTGGCAAAATGTCAAACGCGTCCATTGCTGGAAGAAGGGCCTAAGCAGTGGCGCGAAGAAGAGGAGGTTGGGTGATCGGATTGCGAAGCACATTTGGTTCATATCATATTCTACAGATTCAGATTGGCTTACTTCTTCCTGTTGTTGATCCTACCGGTAAGCCACTATTGCATTTTGGTGACTGCTGATTGGCTGCTTTCACCCTAATTCCCTGATTGGCTGCACTCACCCCAGCTCCCTGATTGGCTGCACTCACCCCAGCTCCCTGATAGGCTGCACGAATCTCAGCGCGTGAAAGTTGACGCGGCACCGCAGCCGTTGGATCTCCCGGGGCAGCCCCGTGAAGGCAAGGCGATGGGAGAAGGGCGTTAGTGCCACGATGCCACGCCTGGGGGGGAAAGAGTGGCAGATGCAGGGGGAGATAGGTGGGGAGAGGGTGGGAGAACAACAATGTGTGCATGTGTGTGTGTGTGTGTGTGTATGTGTGTGTGTGTATATGTGTGTGTGTGTGCGTGTGTGTGTGCGTGTGTGTGTGTGTGCGTGTGTGTGTGTGTGTGCGTGTGTGTGTGTGTGTGCGTGCGTGCGTGTGTGTGTGCGTGTGTGTGTTTGGGTGGGTGAGTCTGTGGTGTGGTGGGGGGGTGGTGCAGGGAGGGGGGGTGCAGGGTATGGCAGGTGAGTGAAGGCGAAGCACGCCAAGTGGGATGGGATGCTCCGGGCGCTCTACAAGCAAGACGGAGCTTCTGGGGCTAACTAGGAAGAAATACTGGGTGAACTTACAACGGTGCAACCCCATTCACTGTTCATGCCGTGGCAACACCCGCGGAGCAGAGCTGGTTGTCACTACCGCCTGTGAGGGTGTTTGGTTGGAGGCGTTACCTTACCACAGTGCCGTACTAGTCCACTCACTGCTTGAGTCGTGGCAGCACGCGCTTGAGGTACCACTTGCTGCTGGCGTGCAGAGGCGCGGAACAAAGCTGGTTATCACTACCGCCTCTGAGGGTGTTGGGTTGGAGGCATGTCCACAGAGCCATGCAACCCCCACTCACTGTTTAAGCCGTTGAGGTACCACTTGCTGCTGGTGTGCAGGGGAGCGGGGCTGGACCGCTGATGTAACGCCTGTGGGCTGTGTTAAAGGCACTCCGCTGCGCCAAATAACACCCTCGTTTTGACCCAGTGGGTAGCGAGGTGTTATACTGGTATCAGAGCCTAGGGTTCGAGTCCCGGCTGGTCCACACTTTCCGCCTATGGCGAGAACTCAAGTGTGGTTACCAGCTCGAACCCAGTGAACGATCCTGAAATCTAGGTCCCAGCTGCAGAGGGCCGACTCCCTGAAGTCCGAGTCAACGGGGACGTTGGTACCAGGGTGGGACGAGTGTAACGCCTGTGGGCTGTGTTAAGGGCACTCCGCTGCACCAAATAACACCCTCGTTTTGACCCAGTGGGTAGCGAGGTGTTATAGCTGGTTACCCTCACCAAATGAGGGAGAGGCTGGTGACATACTGCGAGGTGATAGCAGCACAGCACTCACTGCTTCAGCCGTGGCAGCACGCGCTTGAGGTACCACTTCTTGGTGGCGTGCAGGGGTGCGGAGCGGATGAGCTTGTTGCGGCGGGAGGGCGAGGAGGCGTAGTAGGCCGCTGTGCTCCACGCGAGGTGGCGGGGGAGACGGCGCTCTATGCGGATGTCCGCTCGAAGTGAGGAAATGAAATGGTCGAGATCGAAGATGTCCGCGAACTGACTGGCAGGATGAGGGGGGAGAGCATGGGCAGAGGGAGGAGAGGGATTGGGTGAATGGAAGAGACGTGATGGTGAAAGGAACCTTGCCTCGCCCTCAACCCAGAATGCATGCTCATTACCAATACAAAGGACCATTCCAGCGGGCTAGATCGAAGGAAGGGAGAGGACGAGGAGGCAAAGCAGGCCGTTGTGCTCCACGCACGGTGAGTGGGGAGACGAGCAGCTATGCGACGTTGCCTTGCAAGGGGAGGCGATGAAATGGTCGAGGTCAAATATGACCTCGAATTGACTGGTGAGAAGGGGGAGTGTACATGGGACCAGGGAAGGGAACAGTGGGTTTGATGAGAAGAGATTGCAGGAGGGATGAGAGACGCTGGCTTGAAAGAAGAAAGGGGGAGGAGGCATAGTATAGTAGGTGGCAGTGGTCCATGCCAGGTGTGGAGGGGCCTGGCCGGGTCGGGTCGGTATTCAAACTCTCTGTTCTCCCGAGTCATCTCAAGCTTCACACGGCCTCTCCACGAGCATCATGACCCCCTTGCCAACAGCATAAGATGGCATGGACGCTCACCTGGAGCTCTTTGTACCGCCCACCTGCCCTCTGTGTGCCGCCCACCTGCCGCCTTGTGTGCCGCCCACCTGCCGCCCTGTGTGCCGCCCACCTGGAGTCCTGCCAAAAGATGTTGGTGGCGAACTCGGGGACGAGCAGAGTGGCGTTGAGCAGGCGAGCCACGGCCACCGCGTTGCACACCTGGAGGATAGGAGGGAGATGCAGGGGGGTGGGGAAGGAAGAATCATAGTGAGAGGGAGGTAAGTGGCGTTGAGTGGCGGGCGTTGAGCAGGCGAACAACGGCCACCGCGTTGCACACCTGGTGAGGTGAGGGGGAGAGAGGGGGAGGTGGGGAAGGAGGTGGGGAGGATGAAGAGAGGGAGGTAAATGCCGTTTGACTGGCGTCCAGCTGGCGAGCCACTGCCACTGCGTTGCACACCTGGTGAGGTGAGGGGGAGAGAGGGGGAGGTGGGGAAGGAGGTGGGGAGGATGAAGAGAGGGAGGTAAGTGCCGTTTGACTGGCGTCCAGCTGGCGAGCCACTGCCACTGCGTTGCACACCTGGTGAGGTGAGGGGGAGAGAGGGGGAGGTGGGGAAGGAGGTGGGGAGGATGAAGAGAGGGAGGTAAGTGCCGTTTGACTGGCGTCCAGCTGGCGAGCCACTGCCACTGCGTTGCACACCTGGTGAGGTGAGGGGGAGAGAGGGGGAGGTGGGGAAGGAGGTGGGGAGGATGAAGAAAGGGAGGTAAGTGCCGTTTGACTGGCGTCCAGCTGGCGAGCCACTGCCACTGCGTTGCACACCTGGTGAGGTGAGGGGGAGAGAGGGGGAGGTGGGGAAGGAGGTGGGGAGGATGAAGAGAGGGAGGTAAGTGCCGTTTGACTGGCGTCCAGCTGGCGAGCCACTGCCACTGCGTTGCACACCTGGTGAGGTGAGGGGGAGAGAGGGGGAGGTGGGGAAGGAGGTGGGGAGGATGAAGAGAGGGAGGTAAGTGCCGTTTGACTGGCGTCCAGCTGGCGAACCACTGCCACTGCGTTGCACACCTGGTGAGGTGAGGGGGAGAGAGGGGGAGGTGGGGAAGGAGGTGGGGAGGATGAAGAAAGGGAGGTAAGTGCCGTTTGACTGGCGTCCAGCTGGCGAGCCACTGCCACTGCGTTGCACACCTGGTGAGGTGAGGGGGAGAGAGGGGGAGGTGGGGAAGGAGGTGGGGAGGATGAAGAGAGGGAGGTAAGTGCCGTTTGACTGGCGTCCAGCTGGCGAGCCACTGCCACTGCGTTGCACACCTGGTTGGGAGGAGGTGCGGGAGAGGGGAGGTGGAGAGGATGGGGAGAGAGGTAAGTGGCGTGAGTGACGTTAATTGGGACTGAGTGGCGTTTAGTGGCATTGCGTGGCGTTTAGTGGAGCAGGAGAAACGTGGCAAGTGCGTTGGATTGCATTCCTGGTGCGGATGCATCGTGAGCCACAGGGCAGCTGCCAGCTCACGACATGCTGCACACGCGGTGAGTTGGGGAGGCTTGACGTAAGGAGGGATAGGAGAGAGGGCGGCATGGTTGTGCTGACGGGTGTGGAACGGGGATGCATGAGTCGCTGCCAGCCTCACATCAGCCCGTGGAGGGCGCTGATGCGCTCCTGTAAGTTTGATGCTCGCTGAGGCAAGGCCACCCACCCCTTCACGCTGACGCGGTGCTGGTTGAGTTGAGTTGAGCTGAGCTGAGCTGAGCTGAGCTGAGCTGAGCTGAGCTGAGCTGAGCTGAGCTGAGCTGAGCTGAGCTGAGCTGAGCTGAGCTGAGCTGAGTTGAGTTGAGTTGAGTTGAGTTGAGTTGAGCCCTCTCCATCCGGACACACCTGCATGCATCGACCATGTGCCTTCTCCACCTGCTTCGGGCCCCACGGGATTGACTCGGCTGACTCACTACAAGCGAAGCCGTTACCACTTAGAGCCGTGTGCTGTGACAAGAGGACAAGGCTACCCACCCACTCACGCTGATGCGCTGCTGGTTGAGCCCTCCGTCTAGAAACACCTGCAGATAGCCGTTTGACTCCGGCAGTGGCGCGTCTGATAGGGACGTGAGAGGGCGGACGGGGGGAGAAGCGGAGGGATATGAGGGATGGGGCGGACAGGGTACTTAAAGGGGCGTCAAATGTACACAGCTGGTTGAGCCCTCCGTCTAGAAACACCTGCAGATAGCCGTTTGACTCCGGCGGTGGTGCCTCTGATTGGGGTGAGGGGGCAGACAGAGGGAGGAGAGGAAGGGCGTGAGGACGGAAAAAAGCAAGGGATTTAGGGAAAGGGAAGGGGAGCAAGGAGCAGCCCCGCCCAGAAACACCTGCAGATAGCCGTTTGACTCCAGCAGTGGCGCGTCTGATTTGGGGTGGAGCGCGTGAGAGAGAGCGGGGAACGTGGGAGAGGGAAGTGGAAGGAGAAAGGAAGAGGAGAGATGGAAGGGGAGGGAGGGGTGTTCATCGAGAAGGGGAGGGGGGGGGGGGGGGGTTTGATGGATGATCCATGTTTTGAGTCGACTCAAAACACGGCTCATATCACGAAGGGATGTTCATCGAGAAAGGGGGTGAAGAAAAGGGGGGGGATGGGGGAGGGGGGTGATGGATGATCCATCCATCCTTACCCGATGGACTGTGGTGAAGGGGTTGTGATAACGACGAGAGCAAGTGGAACGAGAAGGGTGGAAAACGAAGGAGGCAATGTGAAAGGAGGGAACGCGACAAGCACGTACTGCAGCAAAACGTGCCCACTTCATTCAACCCACCGCGGTATTTCCTGGAAGGTGCATCGCACTGCCTCCACTCCTCCTGCTGCACTGGTCCCCACAGCCCCTCCGGCTCCTCCTGCTCCCGCTCCTCCTGCTGCTGGGTGAGCGTTAAGACAGTCACGAAGCACGTGGGCAGTCAAGAAAAACTTGAGAATACAAGAAGAAAGCACGTGGGAAGTCAAGTTGCATGGTGGTGCGTGTGGCTGGACTGCAGCGCTCACAGTGAGCAGGAGCGCTTGCAGCAGGCCAGCGTAACCCAGACTCGCTGCTTCCCTCCCCCACGCACCACCCACCAGCAGGCATCAACTCGCACAACCCAGCAGCGGGCAGCACTCACGGTGTGTAGCAGCGCGTGCAGCAGGTCAGGGTGGTCCGCCATGTACCCCAGGCTCGCTGGCTCCCCTCCCCCATCACCTTCCTCTCCGCCCACCTCCGCTTCCCCGTTTTCCGTTCCGCCTCCCCTTCCCCCTCCCCCTCCACCTTCTCCCACCGTCACCACCTTCACCGTTGCGCCCCCACCCGTGCGCATCGTCTGCAGCAGCTCCAGCTCCTGCGGGCGCGCATGCGCGGGAGGTGGAGGGGAAGATGAGGACGGGGGGAGGAAAGCTGGAAAGTCTTTTTCCCTCTGCGCGCATCGTCTGCAGCAGCCCCAGCTCCTATAGGCGCGCATGGGGGGAGGCACGGGCGGGGGGGCGGGGGAAGGGAGCAAGGGGGAAAACGAAAAGGGAAAGCCTACCCCCTGCGCGCATCATCTGCAGCAGCTCCAGCTCCTGTGGGCGCGCATGGGGGGAGGTATGGGCGGAGACTTCAAATTTGGGGGTGGGGATGTGAGGAAGGGGGGAGGGACAAGGGGAAGCCTTACCCCCTCTGCGCGCATCATCTGCAGCTGCAGTTGCTGCGGGCGCACACGGGGGAAGGTACAGGCGGATTGTTACAAATTGGGGGGGAGGGGGGAGGAGGTGAGAGGGGGTTGGAAAGGGGAAGGGACGAATCTGGATTGGGGAAGAAAGGGTGGGGGAGGGGGAGGGAGGGGGGGAAGGGGGGGTTGGGGGGGGGAGGGGAAGGGGATACCGGGGGAATTCGGCTTGCGCCCGTCCATTGCCGCAGCTCTAGCTCGTGGGGGACCGCGTGGGAACAGAAAGGAGGGGGGAGGTGGGGGAGGGGAGGGAGGAGATGGAGCGCGGAGGCTGAAAGAAACAGGGAAGAGAGACAGAGAAGTGGACTAAAAATGAACGGGCCGTTTGAGAAGTGGAGGAAACGGATGGGAAAGGACAAGGCGAAAAGCAGTACGAGGAGACGGTGATGCACGAACCGAACACGATCCAAATCCCTCCTCACTCTCAATCCCCGTCCTCAGAACCCCTCTTACCTCTCACTTCTCCACCTCCTGACTTCCCCACATCTGTCTGGTTCCCCCACCGCTCTCCATTCCCCCCCGCCTCTTCCCAAGTAGCTCTCAAGCTCTACCCAATGCGGAGAAAGGCGCCCCCAACAGCAGGGTCCCCCACCTTTTGCGGCGTGCTCGTGCGCGTACCTCCTTGGACAGCGGCAAGGTCGCGGCGCGCAGTGCCGCGGGCGCACGAGGCACGAAGCACACGTGACTCGCGAGAATTCTCAAAGGCTAAGAACGTCCCCAGCAGCGCCTACGTTTTTTAACAGCGGCGGGGCCGGTGGCGCGAAGTGCGGGCGCATGAGGCACGCGTAAGCGGCGGAGACGACAGAGAAGGTTGTGAGTTACCTCATAGCACAGCAGGCTGTAAACCCCGTACCTCCTTTGATAGCGGCAGGGTCGCGGGCGCGCAGTGCGGGCGCACGAGGCACGCGTAGGCGGCGGAGACGACCCCGAGCACCAGCAGCGCCAGCCGCAGCGACGGCATCACTCTCCGCTTTTGCCGCTGGCTCGACCGGTGCTTCGATATGTGCTGATCCGATACCGCGCCCATGGCTCGGTGCAACTAGTTGTGCTAATAGCGTGGTCGAACCATGTACTAGCGTGGTGCATCAATCACCCTCACGTGTGGAGTCTACGTCTCGCGAATTAGTCTAGTAGAAGCTGAATGATCTTTGAACGTGAGGTCCCAAGGGCCCTAACTCATGGGAAAAACGCTACACGTCTCGCTAATCAAGAATGATGATATAGTAGAGGCCGAATGAGATCTTTCGGAATCCTCGACAGCAGCATCGGGCGTTGAGAGGAAGGACTTCAAAAGCTGATCCGACGAGGTACAACGGCTGAGAGCTAGTACTACGCGTTGATCGAACCGCTCGCAACCTGATAGCTGTTCGAAACCACGCGGATTGCCACGGATTAAAGTTACTAATACACCGCCAGCGGGGCAGGAAATCGTCTACGCTGGTGTTTGCGAGCTCAGCTTGCGGAGCCGGCTTGCGAGCTTCGAGCTCGGAGCAGTGAGTCACTGCTGCGAGCTTTCGAAGCCTTGGCACGATCTTTCGCTGAATTGGCGAACGAAGAATGCTGACGGTGATTCGTACTCGCTTTGAGTGGCTGCACTTGCCGGCTGAAGCGCTGCTTTGCGCCAAAGGCGGGAGCGGCTTGGGTGCTCTTAGTTCCGAAAAACCACGTGGGCCTGTCAGTCGGTGGGGTTTCGGAAAACGCGGCTGAAGTGAAACGTCCCAAGATGTCGATAAATGTCCAGCAACGTGAGCCGTCGGATATTCTAAAGTTCCAGAAAATCTGACAGTTCATCTCTCTCGGCATCTTTCGACGTTTTTTCGACGCCTGTGTTTCAGACACCAACGGAAGGTGCTTCCGTGCCGAGAATTCAGGCTTCTATGTTTTTGTCCAAGCCTTAGGACGCGTTACAACTGCGACATCGAACCTTCGGGAGATCAGTGTTCCGAGTATACAGTGGTTCGCTGAGTCTTGTATCCCGTTTTCGTTAAAAATTCGTTAAGACCCGACGCAAGTCACTGAACGCGATGTCCCTTCCAGATCGATGTGTCACCGCACTCAGAGCATACGTAATGCATTTAAAACTTTTAAGGAGGCTTCTAACCCCGCTAACTATCGAACCTGAAGACAATCGCGACACATCTGGCTCAGAGGAGATCGATTTTGCAGCTTCAGTGTGTGACCACGATCCTCCTCGATGTCGCAATCGTAACACGTCCTTAGGCTGGTGCTGTAAAGTGGAGTGGATAGGTGTGGGTTACCCGCGGGAATAAAATGACACCCACGTTCAGTCGTCGTCAGGAAACCTAACCATCACTGCACTGTACTCAAACTGTTGCTACTTGCAAAGCGGGTTCGGGCAACTGAAGTTTTTGAATTCAGCTCCCTCCCACTGATGCCCTGTGACGTGCTACTGACGAGGCGCACATTTCTGGTTTTAGAAACTGACGAGCCGCCATCAGTCAAACAGAGAAAAGGTGATGTTACACTTCGCCAAATATAGCACTGGACATAAGATTTTACATGGTTTAAATCCGATACGTAGTTACATAAACGTAGTATTCACAATGTACGTGTGCGTGGCAATATTCACACAACAATACACACTAGTATATAGCGGCTGGTTTTAACTCTTCGCAATACTCACTTCACCTACCGACAAATAAGCTTCTCAAGGCACTGCGAGTGCCTTATGTCATACCCCCAAAGCGCCAATAGCAGCATCCAAGCACTCCACGAGAGCTTTATTTATACAACCAACAAAGCATTTACCGTCAGCCCCCGGATAGAGGCGCCCCTGGGGTTATAAAAAAACACGTTTTTTTAGGGAGTGGGCTTATAATCGAGGATTTTTATAAGCGCCGGTGCTTATATAATAGCATATATGAAATTCCTCGTTTTTACACCAAACAGTAGATCCCGTTATTGCGAATTGAATCGAGTTGAAATTATACAGGGTCGCGATTGAAAATCTCGCGTGCAAGTTGGCAGGGATTGATTCCCTGCCAACACACACAGTCAGAATGAGTCAACGTGCGCCCCTGACAGGTCATTCTGACTGGACGCGCTGGCAGTAAGCCGAGCGAGGGTGAAGGGCATCGAAATTCAAAATGTGGGAATGGAGATGTTGAGTTTCGTTACAACGAATTCAGTAAAATTATAGTTAGAAAAAAAGGGTGGTGCTTATAATCCGTAAGCCTTCAGGGGTGCGCTTATAATCGAGGACTGGATATAAGCGCCCTCATCCTTTTATAAGCGCCGGCGCTTATCCGAGGCCTGCGCTTCTATCCGGGGGCTTACGGTAGCCTATCAAGATCTCTCCATGGAAAGTATCAAGGCATTGCCATCGTCCACCATGATCCACCCCAACCTGCCCAAAGCCAGCCTCACTGAGACCATGTTAAGAAGGTTCGGCTGTTGGTTCGGGCCGGAGCTGGAAGCTCCATTTCAAGCACCCCATCCTCAGGCACGGACGAGGTGGTTCGGTTGAGGGAGCCTGACGCGGAGGAAAGGCCTGCTCGTGCGTCATTGGCTCCTTGTTTTGAGGGCGAGGTGAGATCAGCTGCTGCAGCGGCGTTGAGGGCGAGTCGAGCATCCTTGCCACCCTTGAAGGAGATGTCCTGCGGGTAGGGGTGCAGCAGGCAGGGAGGGCAGGTCGTCACATGCAGAGGAGATGAGGGATGGTATGGGGATGCACACGAGGGGCAGCAGAGGCTGGCACCCTTGCCGGCCTTGAAGGAGATGTCCTGCAGGCACATGTGCAACATGCACGCTCACACACCCACACCCACACGCACCCGCCACACATGCGCACTCACGCACACACACACACACACATACATGGTTCCACGTGAGGTTGCTCTTGGCATGCTTGGTCGGTCCTGGCCTCCTGGCTCATGAGAAACACCACCACACTACTGTGATGTCGCCGTGCCCTGCTGCTCCCACTGCCACTGCCCTCCCTCTTCCCCTCCTTGCTTCCCTTTCCCCCTCCCTCTTCGGGGGTTCCATGTGAGGTTGCTCTTGTTGTGTTTGGTGCGCGCCTCGTGGTTGAAGAACACCACCACCGTGATGTCGTCGTGGTACTCCCTCCGCTGTCACTCCCTTCCCTTCCCTCCTCCCTCTCCCCTCTCCCTTCCTGCTCCTGTCCCACCCCCCTCCTTCTATCCCGCCCTCCCTCTCCCCTTCCTCCCTGCTTCTCTCAACCCCACCTTTCACGAACACAATTCCAACCATGAAATGGCTTGCTTAGATGATTCCATGTGAGGTTGCTCTTGTTGTGTTTGGTGCGCGCCTCGTGGTTGAAGAAGAACACCACCACCGTGATGTCGTCGTGGTACTCCCTCCGCTGCCACTCCCTTCCCTTCCCTCCTCCCTCTCCTCACCTCCCCTCCCTCCCCTCCCTCCCCTCACCTCCCTTCCCTCCCCTCCCTCCCCTCACCCACCCTCCCTCCCCTTCCCCTCTCCCTTCCTGCTCCCATCCCACCCCCCTCCTTCTATCCCGTCCTCCCTCTCCCCTTCCTCCCTGCTTCCCTCAACCCCACCTTCCACGAACACAAATCCAACCATGAAACAGCTTGCTCAACCCCTCTCTTACATAGTTCCATGTGAGGTTGCTCTTGTTGTGTTTGGTGCGTGCCTCATGGTTAAAGAAGAACACCACCACTGTGATGTCATCGTGGTACTCCCGCCGCTGCCCCCCATCTTCCCCTCCTTCCCTCACTTCCCTTCCCCTCTCACTCACGTGGTTCCAGGTCATGTTGCTCTTTGCAGCATGTTTGGTCCGCGCCTCGTGGTTAAAGAAGAACACCACCACCGTGATGTCATCGTGGTACTCCCGCCGCTGCCCACTCGCCATGCGCAGCAGATCCTGGTACCGGATCTCCCGCCTCTCCGCCGCCCGCCGCAGCGCCGCCCGAATCAGCTGCCGGGCTATGTCCTGAAAGGGGGGAGGAGCGTGCAGTGCGGAGAGAGGAGGGGGGAGGGAACGGCGGGGCGGAAGAAAGGTCATGAGGGGAGAGAGGGGGGGTGGGAAGAGGGGGGAGAGGGGGGAGAGGGGGGAGCAGGGGGAGCAGGGCCACAAGCAGGGGTGACGATGGAGCGCTGGAGCGAGAGCAGGCGCGATTTCAGCCCATCTACACCGCTCTGCACCGCACTCGACCACAGCAGCGGCTACTACGAGCAGCTCACCTTCCGGGCGGTGCTGGCAACAATATCCACAGCCTCTTGGTTCGTGGTGCACCACAACATGAGCCTCTTGGTTCGTGGTGAACTCACAGAGGCCGTCACAGGCGGGGATGACAAGACAACCCATCAGAGGCGAGGATAACTGGACAGCCCATCTACACAAGGACCTCACCTTCCTGGGGCTGCTGGCGACAATATCCACAGCCTCCTGGTTGCTGATGAACTCAAAGAGTCCGTCAGAGGCGAGGATGACGAAGGAGTCGTGCGGCGACAGCAGGCGCACTGCTATGTTGGGCTCACACGACAGCAGCGGTGGGTGGAAGGGCTCCGGCACTCGGAAGCGCGAGAAGAGCGGCTCGCGGTTGAACTCGTGGGACTTTAGATAGAGGTCGCCGAATGACCGGGTGACCTGGAGGGGAGAATGGGGAGAGAAAGAGCGAGGGGGGAGGGAGAGAGAGTTAAAGGAAGGTGGAAGGCTCGGGCTTGCACTTGTGACAGGCAGAACAGCGGCGTCTTGTTGGACATTCTTGTCCCACTTCTTTGCACTCACCTTCACTCACTTTGCCTTCAACTCACCGTCACTTTTCCTTCAACTCACCGTCACTTTGCCCTCCACTCACCGTCACTTTTCCTTCAACTCACCATCACTTTGCCCTCCACTCACCGTCACTCTGCCCTTCACACGGAACCCCCCTCTCTTCTCCACAACAGCATCTGGCATGTCAGCATCTGGCATGTCAGCATGCTCCTCGATGGACACTGCTCACACAAATGTTCATCCTTAGTAGCACTCACCGTTACTTTCTCCCACCTTGACTCACCGTTAATTTCTCCAACCCTCACTCACCGTCACTTTGCCCTTCACACGGAACCCTCCGCGCTTCTCCACCACAGCATCCGGCATGTCGGCATGCTCCTCGATGAACTTCTCTCGGATGGAAGCGAAGGAAAGGTTGTGGTCCACCGACAGTTGTAGGGCCCGACACTCCAGTGAGTTGTCGTCTCCCTTGCGCACCTGGAGAAAGGCGGAGGAGGGAGGGACGGGGAGGCATGGGGTGAAAGAAGAGCTTTGAGGAAGGGAAGGGGGCAGATTGGGGTGAAGCGTGCAAAAAGAGTTCCGTCGTTTCTACTCACACCTCGTTCTTGATAGGACACCGTTTTTCCTACATGTTTGAACTTGCTCCAAAAAACTAGAGCTGCTTTTGTTTTCACCTTCCAGATTCCACTTGCCCCAAATTTCACATGCCCCACATCCCACCTCCCCACATCCCACCTCCCCACATCCCACCTCCTCACATCCCACCTCCCCACATCCCACCTCCTCACATCCCACCTCCTCACATCCCACCTCCCCACATCCCACCTCCCCACATCCCACCTGCCCCACATCCCACCTCCTCACACCTCACCTGCCCCAGCACGGCTCTGCAGTCGCCCACGTTGGCCACCCAGAGGGCATTGCCAGTCACCACCGCCACCACACTGCACGATCCCACCGTCGCCAGATGCGGGCTTGCTTCAAACGACTGCCGCACCACCTGCACATGAATAGGGTTGCAAAGGTTGTGAGAGGTGCAGATGGATACAGAGCGGTGCATGAATGTTTCATTTTCTTTGGGAAAGTCTGATAGACGGGGCATTCCCAGCCACCACCGCCCCCACACTGCATGACCCCACCGTTGCCAGGTGGGGGCCCGCCTCAAACGACTGTCACACCACCTGCAGGGCGCAGGTGCAGAGGAGTGCACAGAGGTGGGTGAGGGGTGCAGATGGGTGAATCGTTTTTTCACTTTAAGGAAGGAGGTGGGAGGTGGGAGTGGGTGGAAAACGATACGCGAGAGCGAAAACGGGAAGGGAAGAGGTGACAGAAGAAAATGAGGATGAGGTGCGTGAGGGGGCGTGGTTGAGATAAAGCGCAAGGGAGGCCGTCGGCTGTTCAAGAGCACAATCCAAGGCACAACACGTGATTTCGAGGTGTGAACAGCGATACCTGGGTGTGTTTGGTGGTACCGGGGTGTGAAAGGTGGTACCGGGGTGTGACAAGCGGTACCTGAGTGTTTAAGGCAGTACCGGGGTGTGATAAGCGGTACCTGGGTGTTTAAGGCAGTACCGGGGTGTGACAAGTGGTACCTGGGTGTTTAAGGCAGTACCAGGGTGTGACAAGCGGGCGGTACCTGGGTGAAAGCAGTCTCAGTTTCGTGGAAGGCTCCTCGCACTGCTTCTGCTGACACCTGCCCGCCCTGGTGCATGAATTGCGCTGCACAGCCACAGAACACACAGGGACACAGAAGCCAGACTTTGCCGACAAGAAACAGGGTGTTCTTGAGGCGCCTCTAGCTCACACCGGCGGCCTGCTCCTTGTGATGCATGCATGGTGATTGCAGGAGAGAGGCAACACAAGGCACATGTCCACAGGAGTCACAGAAGCGGGACAAGGAGACTCAAGGGACACTCAGTCCTCCGCACCTTTGAGGTTAAAGTAGAGATTCTCCTTGAGGAACTCCGACGTTTCAGTCCCGCCATGCCCATCATGCACGCCGATATACACGCCACTACTGCTGCCCTCCACCTCAGCCGTGTCCTCCATCACATAGTTCGCCTCGTACATCGCCAGCGAGAACTGCCCGTACGGAGTGTTATCCAGCGCGCGGTGCCACACGTCCCTCTTCTGCCCAAACGCCTCCACCGGCCCGCCCGGGCGGCCCCAGCGCTTGGGGTTGAGCATGCGCACGATGGTCTCCAGCACGCCCGGCATGCGGTGGTGCATGGAGCGGCCTGTGAGGAAGCGCCGCCCGCCGTACTGGCTGTCCTCCATGTCGAACTCCTCGCCCTCGTCCTCGCCCCCATGGAAGGCCACGTCTAGACCCACCTACGAGCGGGGTCGGGGGATGGGACGCCATGACAGGGAGTGAACAGAGAGAGAAAAGCGTTTGAAACGGTGTTGGGAACTTGAGTGTCCCCAGCCGCTCCCCGCCTGCTGCTCTGTCTGGGCACCCGCAGCTGCGCTTGGGGTTGAGCGGGTTGAGAGACGCGTTTTGACGCCCAGTCCTCAGATCAGATCAGAAGGCCAGCGCTTGGGGTTGAGCATGCGCACGATGGTCTCCAACACGCTCGGCATGCGGTGGTGCATCGACCGCCCGGACAGGAAGCACCGCCCGCCGTACTGGCTGTCCTCCATGTCGAACTCCTCGCCCTCGTCCTCGCCGCTGTGGAAGGCCATATCCAGCCCGACCTGGGGTGGGGGATGGTGAGGAAGGAGAACATAAAGGCACGCAGCAGAGGTCAGTTCACACTCGTGCCGTACTGGCTGGCGTCATGAGGAGGTCCTGGCTGGCGTCATGAGGAGGTCCTGGCTGGCGTCATGAGGAGGTCCTGGCTGGCGTCATGAGGAGGTCCTGGCTGGCGTCATGAGGAGGTCCTGGCTGGCGTCATGAGGAGGTCCTGGCTGGCGTCATGAGGAGGTCCTGGCTGGCGTCATGAGGAGGTCCTGGCTGGCTATCCTTCATGCCCAACTCCTCCCTCCCCCTTGCCCTCGCCCCCATGGAAGGCCACATCCAAACCAGCCTGCAGATGGAGCGCGAGAGGGGATGCCGGAATGGGGATTGAACAACAAGAAGGGAGCATTTGAACAGGGCCTGAGAGGAAGCATCGCCTGCCGTACTGGCTGTCCTGTCCCCCATGTCAAACTCCTGGCCGCCGTCCTGTCCCCCATGTCAAACTCCTGGCCGTCGTCCTCCCTGCCATGGAAGGGCACGTCCAGGCCGACCTACAGATGGAGCGCGGGGCGTGAGGAGGGGGGTGGGGGACGGGGGGCGGGGTAGATGCATGCAGTGGTTACCACTCGTGCTGTACTGGCTGTCCCCCATGTCAAACTCCTCGCCGTCGTCCTCGCCCCCGTGGAAGGGCACGTCCAGGCCGACCTGGGGAGAGGAAAAGGGATGGGAGTGGAGAGGGCGGGTGAGGGTGGGAGTGTTGGGTTGGGAGAGGGGGGCAGGTAGATAAACGCACACACCAGGGCGCCCAGAAACACAAAGCGCACAATGTACATTGGCACGCCCGTCACAATGTACATTGGCACGCCCGTCACAATGTACATTGGCACGCCCGTCACAATGTACATTGGCACGCCCGTCACAATGTACATTGGCACGCCCGTCACAATGTACATTGGCACGCCCGTCACAATGTACATTGGCACGCCCGTCACAATGTACATTGGCACGCCCGTCACAATGTACGTTGGCACGCCCGTCACAATGTACGTTGGCACGCCCGTCACAATGTACATTGGCACGCCCGTCACAATGCACATTGGCACGCCCGTCACAATGTACGTTGGCACGCCCTTCACAATATACGTTGGCACGCCCGTCACAATGTACGTTGGCATGCCCGTCACAATGTACATTGGCACGCCCGTCACAATGTACATTGGCACGCCCGTCACAATGTACATTGGCACGCCCGTCACAATGTACATTGGCACGCCCGTCACAATGTAAATTGGCACGCCCGTCACAATGTACGTTGGCACGCCCGTCACAATGTACGTTGGCACGCCCTTCACAATGTACGTTGGCACGCCCGTCACAATGTACATTGGCACGCCCGTCACAATGTACATTGGCACGCCCGTCACAATGTACATTGGCACGCCCGTCACAATGTACGTTGGCACACCCGTCACAATGTACGTTGGCACGCCCGTCACAATGTACGTTGGCACGCCCGTCACAATGTACATTGGCACGCCCGTTACAATGTACGTTGGCACGCCCGTCACAATGTACATTGGCACGCCCGTCACAATGTACATTGGCACGCCCGTCACAATGTACATTGGCACGCCCGTCACAATGTACATTGGCACGCCCGTCACAATGTACATTGGCACGCCCGTTACAATGTACGTTGGCACGCCCGTCACAATGTACATTGGCACGCCCGTCACAATGTACATTGGCACGCCCGTCACAATGTACATTGGCACGCCCGTCACAATGTACGTTGGCACGCCCATCGCCCACCCACCTACGGAGAGTCCGTCGCAATCTCACCTCTTCCTTCTCCCTCTCACTTGCCTCTTTCCTACTCTCACCTCCTCCCTCGTCCCCCTCCCTCTCACCTCCCTCGTCCCCCTCCCTCTCACGCACTCACCTCCTCCTCCTGCCGCTCGACTCGCAGCACACCAAACACGCCCAGAAACACAAAGAGCTCGTCTGTTGTGATACCCACCCACCCACCCACCCACCCACCCTCCCACCCATGCACCCACCCGCCCACCCGCCCGCCCGCCTATTCGCCCGGCCGCCCCGCCCGCCCCGCCCGCCCGCTCACTCACCCACCTAAGGAGAATCAGTGGCACCGTCTCACCTCCTCCTCCTGCCGCTTGACACGCAGCACACCGAAGGCGCCCAAAAACACAAAGAGCACGTATGTTGTGATGCCCACCCACGCGTACACTAGCAGCAGCGCTAGGATCTAGAAGAGGAGGGGGGAGTGGTTGAAAATGGAATGTGGAGCGGAGGAGCAGAGAAGATGGGGAAGAAGGAACACAAAGAGCAGAAAGAAGACGGTCCTGCCCAAACACACGTACACCAGCAACAGAGCTGGGATGTGAAAGCAGAGAGGTAAAGAAAAGGGGAGCGGGTGGAGAAAAGTAGCAAGCGAACATAGCGGTCACTCCCATCCCACCCACACATACACCAGCAGCAGCGCTAGGGTCTGCATGTGTCAAAACAACACATGCCACACCACACCACACGTCCCGACTGAACCAGCAGCTGCCAGCCTCCTCCCCCATAGAAGAGCCCCCAGGAGGGCGGGACGATGCCGTAGGTGGAGTGTGGTCAAGGAATGCGCTCCCTGGTTGACAGACCTATCAACACACACCACTCGTACGACACAACCCACCCGCATAAACAACCGCCAGCCTCATCCCCCATAGAAGAGCTTTTGAGACGTCTCAAAAGTCGCCCATAGAAAAGCCCCCAGGAGGGTGGCACGATGCCGTAGGTGGCGGTGATGCCATCCTTGGTGGCGGTGATGCCATCCTTGGTGGCGGTGATGCCATCCTTGGTGGCGGTGATGCCATCCTTGGTGGCGGTTAGGGATGAGCAAGGTGGCGAACACCTTCGAGGCGAACCGAACAGGTTTTGTTTTTTAGCTCAAATCGTTCGCCGAACAGTGTTCGATGTTCGCCCGAACACATTCGTGTTCGGGCCGCTGCTGAAATTTGCCCGCGACGAACACGAACAGTGTTCGAGGTTCGCCCGAACACGCCTCCACAGGCGAACAGCGAACACCTGTTTTTTCCTAAACTGTTCGCCGAACCGAGCACTGTTCGGTTCGGCAAAAGAGGGTGTTCGACAAGGGGCGAAGACGAACATGTTCGTGTTCGCCCTTTGCTCATCCCTAGTGGCGGTGATGCCATCCTTGGTGGCGGTGATGCCATCCTTGGTGGCGATGATGCCATCCTTGGTGGCGGTGATGCCATCCTTGGCGGGGCGACCCCTTATCCCCTGGTACTGCCCTACCCGTCATACAGCATTCAACACTCACATGGCAGGCCACACGTGACGGTGACACGACCCACCTGCACCAGCAGCTGCCAGCCTCCTCCCCCGTAAAACAGCCCCCAAGAGGGCGGGACAACGCCGTAGGTGGCGGTGATGCCATCCTTGGTGGCGAAGAGGCCTGCTGCCACGCCGCCCCACGATCCACAGAACAGATGCGTTGGCGCTGCTTGTACTGGGTCGTCTATTTGGTACCTGGTGGTCGTGTGCGGTTGTGCGCATTACACGAGCGGGAGGAGAAGGGGGTTAGGTACATGAGCCCCGCCACCACCCCAATAATCGCAGCAAACGTACGGCTCCACCACACTGCTCGTTGCACACGCCGCCGCCAGCCCCCTCCACTCCACATACCGACACTACACACAGTGCCACACCCCCTCGCACCCACCGGAACATGAGCCAGCAGCCGAGAAGACACATGAGCCCCGCCACCACCCCAATGCTGGCAGCGGCATACGGCTCCACCTCGCTGCTCGTGGCACACTGCTGGTGTCACACGCCCAACCCCGCCACCCCTCTCCACTCCACACACTCACTCACACTACACACAGTGCCACAGCCTGCTGCTGCTGTAGTCGGATCGGATTCACACATACACCCTCCTACCCCCCCTCGCACGCACCGGAACATGAGCCAGCAGCCGAGAAGATACATCAAGCCAGCGACAACCCCAATGATGGCAGCAGCATACGGCTCCACCACACTGCTGGTGGCACACGCTGCCACCAGCCCGCCGATCACCCCATTGAACGTGTCCTCTGGCACCGGCTCCCTGCGCCGGTACGTGAGCGTCCACACGGTGACGCCGCTGAAGGAGGCGCTGATGGTGGTGTTGACGCACACGCGCGCCACCTCCTGCACCCACTGCAGCGGCGGCTGCCCCACCAGCGACACCGAGCCCCCGTTGAAGCCGTAGAAGCCCACCCACAGGATGATGGTGCCCGCTGCTATGAACACCTGGAGAGAGGGGGGTTTGGTGGATAGGGGGAAAGAGGTAAAGAGTGAGGGGCGTGAGGGAGTATGGGAATGGGTAAGTGAGGGAAATGGGGGAAGAGATGTGCCATTAAAGCCGTAGCATCCCACCCAGAGGATGATGGTGCCTGTGATTTTATGAACAACTGGGGGAAGGATAGGGCAGGCCGCAGGTGGGAGAGGAGGGGGGAAGGGGAGAGAGAGGGAAAAACGATTGGGCCCGGGGGGGGAGGGGAGGGAGGGAGTACGAAAGCGTTAGACATCCTAGAAAGTGACAAAGAACAAGAGGGGGCGGAAAAGAGGGAGGGGTCTAAAAACGGAAGGAAGGGCAGATGTATTATGTACGTACGATGGAGTGGCGACAGGGAAAGAGGGGACATACCACGGAGTGGCACTTGAAGGGCACCACTTTGCCGTCAATGTCAAACCGACCAATGCGAGGGCCCACTAGAATCGCCCCCACCAATGACGTGACGCCACCTGTACAAGGAGCAGGTGCCAGTGAGCACATGCAGAGACGAGGAGGAGATGGAGGGGGGATACAAGGGGGACGAGAATGGGAGGGGGGGAGAGGAAGCGAGAGATAAGAGAGAGGGAGGAAAGAGAGAAGGTGCACGAGTGTGACAATGGTGCTCAGCACAGTGCTGCTCTCCATTGCCCCTGTCAAATGGATTAACCGCTGGTCTGTCTTTCCCCTCTCTCACCCACTGCCATAACAGCCACAACTGCTCTCACCAGTGACATGCACCACCATGGACCCCGCATTGTCCAGCACGCCTATGGTGTTGAGCACTGTGTTGGTCTGACTGGCCGCCAGCAGCCCCCCTTGCGACCAGATCATGTGCGCTATCACCGGGTAGATGAGCGCAGACAGGAAGAAGCTGGGGAATCGAAAGGGGAAGGGAGAGGAGGGGACAGAACGGAATGGGAGGTGAGGGGGTGGGGGAAGTCAGCAGCCCCCCCTGCGACTCGATCATGTGCGCTATGACGGGGTAGATGAGCGCAGACAGGAAGAAGCTGGGGAAGGGAGGGGAGATGTGTGAGGTGGGGTGGGGGAGGGAAGGGCGATGGGGTGGGGTCGTCATGTATGCTACTATGGCTTGGATGAGCTTTGAGAGGGGGAAACGGATGAGCAAGACAAGGAGATAGCTTGTAAGAGTATAAAACACCTCTTACAACAAGAGAGGCAGCATATAACGGGATTCAAAGCTGGAAACGAGGAACACGGGCTGCAAAGGTGCTCCGTGCGCATCACACGGACAGAGAATGCAGCTTATAGTGAAGCGCACAACTTACAATGACTGACGCACATGCCTTTTATAAGGCGCACACTTTCAAACCTCAAAGCCTGGCCCTGAACCGAGGCACACAGCCTATAACGAAACACGTGACGAGGCAACGGGGTTATTACTTGAATGTGAGGTAGGCCCATAGGTGCGTTCTCTCCGCCACAGCCCCTGCAATGATTGTTGCTGATGTGGCACAGAAGGTGAACTGGAAGAACCAATCAACTCCATTCTGCCCACTCGCATATGCAATCTGGACGGCGGGTGTGGGAGGAGGAGGAAGTGTAGGGGGGAGGAGCGGGAGTGGGAGAGTGAGAAAGGAGAGGTAAGAGGAGGGAGAGAGTAAGGAGGGAGGGAGGGAATTGTCGAACTGGAATGGGATTGATACGAACACACTGAAGTTGACATTTCATCTCCTTTACAGGTACACAACAGAGTGGGCTTCGCTTCTTTCCCCAACGGGTACAGGCATACCGCATCTCACCGATCCATACCACACTCCCACCCGCACCCACCCATCTCCACCCATTCGTACCGAGCCGCCGTCGTACTTCCACCCAAACACCTTGGAGCCCTCCCCAAAGCCCACCCATCAGCACCCACCCACCCATCTCCACCCATCCGTACCGAGCCGTCGTCATACTTCCAGCCAAACACCTTGGAGCCCTCGCCAAAGCCGATGCCGTAGCCCAGCAGCCAGAAGGCAATAGCGCTCACACACGTGTCCAGCACCCTGGAGCCCTTCCCAAAGCCCACCCATCACCAGCTACCCATCAACATTCACCACCCACCCATCACCACCCATCCGTACCAAGCCGTCGTCGTACTTCCACCCAAACACCTTGGAGCCCTCCCCGTAGCCTTAGGCATCTCTAGTATCATAGAAGCCAATGCATTACCATTCCCACCCATCAGCACCCATGCGTACCGAGCCATCGTCATACTTCCACCCGAACACTTTGGAGCCCTCGCCGAAGCCGATGCCGTAGCCCAGCAGCCAGAAGGCAATGGCGCTGACACACGTGTCCAGCACGTTCTTGATCATGATGTTGCGCGTGTTCTTGAACCGCACCGTGCCCGCTTCTAGCAAGGAGAAGCCCAGCTGCAGGGATGGGAGGCGGAGAGAGGGGTGGGTGGGAGGCGGAGTGAGGGGTGGGAGGAGGAGAGGGGGGTGGGAGGAGGAGAGGGGGGTGGGAGGCGGAGAGAGGGGTGGGAGGCGGAGAGAGGGGTGGGAGGCGGAATGAGGGGTGGGAGGCGGAGAGAGGGGTGGGAGGCGGAGAGAGGGGTGGGAGGCGGAGAGAGGGGTGGGAGGCGGAGAGAGGGGTGGGAGGCGGAGAGAGGGGTGGGAGGCGGAGAGAGGGGTGGGAGGCGGAGAGAGGGGTGGATGGGAGGCGGAGAGAGGGGTGGGTGGGAGGCGGAGAGAGGGGTGGGAGGCGGAGAGAGGGGTGGGTGGGAGGCGGAGAGAGGGGTGGGTTGGAGGCGGAGAGAGGGGTGGGAGGCGGAGAGAGGGGTGGGTGGGAGGCGGAGAGAAGGAACGCGTACCTCCTAGCCCACCCGAGCCCACCCAAGCCCACCCTAGCCCACCCTAGCCCACCCTAGCCCACCCTAGCCCACCCTAGCCCACGCTCGCCCCTGCACACCATATTTGCAGATTGCAATTTTCTCCCGTGATCCTCCTCACCGCACCAGAGACCTCTCTCCCCGCACCGCACCGCATTGTACCTGCATGAGGAAGACGAAGACGCTGGCTGTGGTGCGATCTCAGCAGTGAGCATGACAGCGTTCTGCACCTCCACCTGCATGCTCTGCACGCCCCACCACACTTGTTTCTAATCGCCTCCGTCCCTGCTATCCCCCCACCGCATCAGAGACCTCTAAACCGCACCTGCATGAGGAAGACGAAGACGCCGGCCGTGGTGCGCCAGATCTCGGCGGTGAGCATGACGGCGTTTTCCACCTCCGTCTGCATGCTCTGCACCGACGAGTTCAGCGCCGCCACGCGCGCCTGCACCTCCGAGAGCGTCATGTTGGTAACATTGTAACTCGTGCCGTTGTACACGACTGTCGTCACCGTCGCCATGACGTGGCGAACGCGATGGTAAAGCGCGTGCGAAACGGGTAACGGAACCAGGGGCAGTGTCAAATACACGGATCAACGATTGGGAAGCATCGGAAGGTAGATCCGACAGCTCTTGGTCATGGGAGCATGGCGCGTTGGGATAGAACGGGCTTCAGAAAGAGTTGAGCGTCGATGGTACTACTTCTGTTGTTCTGCTGCTTCTGCTGCTTCCACTGCTACCCCTGCTACCGCTGCTACTTACACTTCGTCACAACAGCTCGGGTGTGTGGCGAATATGTCGCCTTAGGGTCTCGTGTAGTACCATGAAGGGCGGCCCGGCAGTAGAGTCAGTATATGCTGACAGCCATAAATGCTGCTATTCCTAATGAGGATGCTACTACTGCGGATGCTATGCGCAGGTCCTGCGTATCGGTTAATAGAGACGCGACTATGGCACGGCCCGTTTCTAAGCCAATTACGAGATCAGAATACTCGTGCTTCGAGACGCGCCTCGGGACGCATTGATGCCCCCAATGGCTTTTGGTTTGTGTATGCAGAAGGACGTGCTGGGTTTATAGTCGCCAAAAACGTATTTCCTCCTTGTATACTTGCGATACGTCGAGCACTAGTAGCTAGTAACACGGGTTACCCTTGTACTCTAAACAACGAAGAGGAATCGCCGATACATGAGTGCAACATAATTCCCGATTTCGCTATCGGGCAATTGATCGAGACTAAATGGAAAGACCGACTTGTTTCCTGACATTCGTAACCGCAACCACTTCAAACTCACTCGCCGAACTCTCAAGAGGATTTTCACCTGCACGCCTCGTTGGATTTCGGCGAACAGCTATTGAATAATTCTATCAAACGAGGAGCGGCATGTGTCGCATGCTCTGTTCACGCCTGGCAAACCCTAACTTGCGTGGTGTGGAGTGGAGTGGACGCACACAGAACAAAATGTAGGGCGTAGCTGCGAGGCGCTTCTAGCAGGCGCGAGGGGTAGAGGTGCGGCGGAAGGAAGGGTTGCGGCGGGTAGCCATGACTGGAGCGTGGAGGTAGTGGTTGTTCCAAGCTGAGCTCTGGAGCTGACTCTTTCCGAGTCCATGTGAACTGCCTCCTTTATTGATCAAAATGGCTATCAGTACGAGTTCGCCAAAAACAAACAGCTGATTTGCAAGGAGTCAATTTCAGACACGAAACCAAGCTACTCCAGATCCTCTCCTTGTGGTTGCCGTTGCCGTTGGGTCCCAACTCTTTCCCCTGTCCACTTTGCGTTGCTGGCAGTCTCGTCGATCCCTAAAAGCCGACCTGTCTTACAAAATTGTGAAATTTTGTGTCGCTTGCCCGTATGTTCGGGTACTCCAGAAACTGTTTTGGGATGTAGCTTTGTGTGCCTGCCTCCACTCCACCAAAGCCACATGGTACAGTGGGAGAACACAGCTCCATTTCGATTGGTGTGAAGACGAACAAGCTCTCGAGAATCAGCGAATCCCTTCCCTCAACCCGACACCTCGTGTGCCACGTGGGAGGAAATTTGGATGTCATTGTAGTAGGCGTAAATCCTCGTTTCCAACGCATCCTCTTATCTTTTAGTTAGGATGTTTAGTTGCTCGTTTCTCTGCTCTATTCTAAGAACCCTTCTTATCATTGCTTCGCATCATCCAAACATAAATTTCTGTTCATGTCCTTTGGTCCTGTCACCACTCACTGTTTTTCATCAATTAATTACCATTCACACTGCTCTCCGCCTAATTTTATGCCCCATTTCATCAACTTTTACGATCCGAGTCGACTCTACAGGCTACGCCCCACTTTTCCAATCCTTGGCGCTAGGGGGGAATGATCTCCTAATATTCCATGCCTTCCTTTTTTCCCACCATGATTTTCTCTCGCCTTTTGCATCCATTTACCACAATCACAAGCACTCCTCACCATAGCAAGCGAAACACACACTACTGAGGTTGAAGTCAAACGGGCGGAAGTAACACGAAGGGTCGTACGGTTACGAAAACATATGGACCGTTGGGCAGACAGCATCAGGCAGCAGCAGTGGCGAGGATTCTGCTCGAACAGTTTCATAACGACCTGGAGTCGCACGGTTGGATTTCGTTGTAATAAGGGAATGTATTCCTTAGAGTACATGGCTAGCTATGACGATTGAAATTCCTCTGTATGTCAGAATGTAATAATTGTCTAGCCTGCAGTGGGGTACTCTATAGCGAGTACAACCCAATTAGGGTTTCCTATATGTATGCCAACTGCTGCTAGTACAACCCCTCTCTTCTTCATTCCTCATTTCTTCACATGCTATCAGAGCATCTACGCTCCTGGCCTGTGGGCCCACCTAACTGCTTCCGCTGCTACTCTGTGTGTTGCACGCCCCGTGGCGTGCGACGGACTTTTTTCTTCCCCTCCTAGAGGCCCCTCTCACGGCCCCTCGCGCCGCCCTTAGCGTTCCCGTCGCCGCCCTTCTCGGCCCCTCGAGGCCCCTTCGCGGCCCCGTCGCCGCCCCTAGCGGCCCCGTTGCCGCCCTTCCAAGCCCCTCCCGGCCCCTTCGCGGCCCCGTCGCCGCCCCTAGCGGCCCCGTCGCCGACCTTTCAGGCCCCTCGCGGCCCCTTCGCGGCCCCGTCGCCGCCCCTAGCAGCCTGTCGCCGCCCTTCCAGGCCCCTCGCGGCCCCTTCGCGGCCCCGTCGCCGCCCCTATCGGCCCCGTCGCTGCCACCAGCGGCCCCGTCGCCGCCCCTAGCGACCCCGTCGCCGCCCCTATCGGCCCCGTCGCCGCCTCCAGCGGCCCCGTCGCCGCCACTTTCGGCCCTGCCTCGACCCTGCCCCGGCCCCGCCCCGGCCATGCTCCGTCGCCTGTCGCGGCGCACCGGGGGCCCGTGCACCTCCCCCCCCGCGCGGCCCCCTCAGGTCGCCTCGACAGGAGACGGGAGGGGTGACCTGGGGAGGGGGGCGAGCGTCGCCCCTTCTGCCGCCTGTTTTGGCGCCCTGGTGTCAGAATATATCTGTAACTGCCTGTAGCTGTGGTTAGTGTAGTTATTATAAACTTTGTTTGGTGGTGCACCTTCTTTGTGGTGGTGATCCTGAGTTCGATCAACTTCTGATCGCAGCAATCATGAATGCCAAGAAGAACAAATGCATTCGAAGAAATGAATGAATGAGGATTGTAGGGCTGACGTTTCATATTAAGCCTCCCTGATTCCGGGGAAAAATACCCCCCTCTATTATGGGTGCATATTTTCCACACGTAGGCTACTCTGATTGCTCAGTGTTGAAAAGTAGTTAACTCTGATTGCTCAGGATCGAGAATTGAACATCGATGTTGTTGGAGTGTGAAGGGAATTTTACTTAGCATTCCCGTAGGTGCAACAGTATCGCACCTGACTCTGTCGAAGCAGCAACTACTGCAATATCGGATCAGCCCGTAACAAGGGCAGGAAGGTCAACAGTTGCAAGAGTCAACTGTCGCGACTGTTGACCATCTGGACCGACGCTTGACTTACCATCAAGGAATGGCAACAGGCGTAACCGTACAGGTTACATGCAGCGACTCGGTAACAAGAAAGGCAGTACAACAGTCAGAGTCACTGTAGAAATGCATGTAAAACAGTTATAATACGGGAATGTACCCCTTAGAATACATGGCTAGACTAGGACTATTTATATTCCTTGTATTTTATCTTTTAATCAACTTGGTCATTTATATTCACTATGATTTGAGTTCTTACAAGTCTTCCGCTACCAAACTCTACCAAAGCACCTCCTATTCTATCCAAGGTCCTCACTCTAACATGGTATGAGAGCTAGTTTGGATGATAGGAACTGCTAAAAGGGGCTTCCAACAAGCTTCTTTATAACTTAAGCTTCAAACATCAACGACATCAACAGGGCATCAACATGCTAGGCGCAGACTGCGGAGAAGCTGGAGAGAATCCAGTACAACCCTCCACCAACGTCGCCTCTACTACGACGACTGTGGATACAGCTCTACACGAGCAGCTTATTTCCCGCATCAGCGCACTGGAGAGCCACTAGCCAATGAGCATTGACGGCTCAAGCTACGCTCGAAGACCTCCCGATCCTCAAGGGGCTGGATCTGAGCGATCCTTCACCTTCGACAACCGCAGAGCTCAAGGATCTGCTCAAGCGCAACAAACACATTACGAGGAATGGCTTCAATGCAGAGCAAGTTCCTCTTGACGTCGAAACTAAGGACAACCAAACCCTTCGACGGACAAGACTTCTACACGTGGAGCTTCGAATTCGAATTACTCGCTCTGGGCGCTCAGATCTGGATGTACTACGACGGATCATACCCCTTTCCAGCAAACGGCTCACCTCAGGAGAAGACCCAATACTACAACGAGTCGCTCCTAGGTTTCACCGTGTTGATTCAGAACCTGTCGCCCGAAGAACAGCTGAGCATTCGCCCCTTCAAAAACGAGTGGGCACCCGCGCAACAGTCCTGGGAACACCTGCGCACCTGCCACATGGCAACAGACTCGGTGACACTCAGTCGCCTGCTCAACCAGCTGAACAATGTCAAGATGTTCCCCGGCGAGAAAGCCGGACCATACATCAAACGCTGCAGGAACCTAAGAGATCAATTCAGGAAAAGCAGCGGCAACTTCCCTGACAACATGTTCGTCACAATCATTCTCGCTGGATTGAGCCCGGAATGGCGCCAGTGCAAGTCCCTCCTTCGCACACAAGGCACTCTTAGTGAGACTGCCCTCTGCTCCACGCTTCTCTCCGAGCAGAAGGAAATCGACCTGTACAACGAAAGAGGCAACAAGAAGGAGAAGATTGCCTTTTACGCTCAAGCGCCACTGGACAAGAAAAGACTCTTCTGCAAGTACTGCAAGAAGACTGGGCACATGATTCAAGACTGCTGGAAGCTGAACGGCAATAACAACAACCAGAAGGGTGCCGCTGCTCACCAGCAAGGAGGAGCCGCAGCGCGCAACCAAACTGTGTCGCCGCCAGCCGTCGCCAGCACGTCCCAAGCCCCGGCGC